GCGAGCTGGGTGGGTAATTACAGCCAGGGATAGTGGGGAGCACCCTGGTTGCAGTAAGCGGGGCTTGCCGGTCAGGGGAGCCTCAGCGCAGCTCCGCTTCGCGGTCCAGGCCGGGTTGGGGTCTGTGGAGAGAGTGCCCCAGGTGGCCCCTCTGTCAAAGCACCACCTGAGTGCTGGACGTGTTGGTCTGGTGTCTTTCCATTTCACCTGGATTAGATTTCTGAGCTGGGGCCCCAGTTCGCACCTCCCAGTGTCTACATCTTTTCTTATCTTCTCGGTCTGTCTCCACACCTCTTTCCTTATCTCTCCCTCTCTTTTCACCTCCTTATTCCCTTCTCTCCTCTCCTCTAATCACTCTTGTTCCCCATCAACCTTATACCTTTACAATCTTCATCTCCACTTGAAGTTCTTCAGTTTAAATAAATGAGCACTTCACAGGTGCCTCACAGGGTGAGAGTGACAAACACCCCAATTTGACAGATGAAGAAACTGAGGCCCAGACAGGTGAAGTGACTTGCTCAAGGTCAGGAAGCTCATAATAACTGGCATATTTGTAGTGATTTGCATTTTGGGAGTACTTTTCTCTTTTTTTTTTTTTTTTTTAATTAACAGCTTTATTGAGGTCTGACTAATATGCCATAAAATTCACCCATTTTTAACTGTACAAGTCAATGATCTTTTAGTATATTTACAGAATTGTCCAACCATCATCACAATTTAATTTTAGAGCATTTTAAAGAGAAATCTTGTGCCTATTTACAGTCTCTCCTCATTCCCACCCTAACCAGTTGCCTTAGAGTCAATGGCTGCTTTTTGTGAAGTAGATTACCAGGCTTTTCTTCCTAGGCACCTCTGGGTGGATTCAAACCTCCAGACTTTCAGTTATCAACTGAGCTTTTTAACCATTTGCACCATCCAGGGATTTCACACCTAGCCCTACCAAAACACCAAGCCTGTTGCCTTTGAGTTGATTTTGACTCATAGTGACCCTATAGGACAGAGTAGAACTGCTCGACAGGGCTTCCAAGGAGTGCCTAGTAGATATGAACTGCCGACCTGTTGGTTAGCAGCCCAGCTCTTAACCACTGTGCCACCAGGGCTCCCACCTACCCCTAGGCAACCACTAATCTAGACAATTTTTAAAAAATCATTCCAGTTTTATCTCACAGCTAATAAATAATAAAGTCAGGGTTAGGATTCAAGGCTCTTACAACCCAGCCTAAAGTTCTTTCCAGTAAATGGTGATGCTCTCCTTCACAATTATATATTGTTTTGTTTTTCTTACCCCTTCTCTACATACACTCCCCATCCCTAACCCACCTTCTCTTACTTTTCCTTCCTCAGAGTATGCTGAGGGAGTTCCTGCGTGGAGGGAAGCAGTACAGCAGTCTCTGTCCCTAGAAATTCTTCCCCAAGGCAAGGCCTCCTGGGGAGGTGCCAGGCAGGCTTGGTGTAGGTTTCCCTCTTCCCAGGCAGTCTTGGGGCGGGCCCCAGGCCCTGTTCTGGCCTCTCTTCCGCCAGCTTGGGTGGAAATGGTGACTTGGGTGGAAACGGTGACGGAGATGATGTAGTACCGGCCCGGAAGGGTGGAAGCTGGGCGGGTAGTAACTCCATGGCCGAGGCCCTTGGACCCAACTGCAAGGGTCAGACACGCCTTGGAATGCTGGCTCCTGCTGCCACTTCCCCTCCAAGTCTGCCGGTAAGTGGCTGGAAGAAAAAGATGGAGGGAAACCCTGTTTTTTTGAGTACCCTTCCCTACCCTCAGTCACACTCTTCTCAGCTTTCCCCAGTAACATTTCAGCAGCAAACAGGAAGTTTTGGATCTTAGCAAGTTGGCCAAGGGATGGCATTTAGGTACACAGAGGTCTCTGCACACATTTCTCAGGTACCAGAGATGTGAGCCAGGAAGAGAGGGATGGGCCAGGGGAGTTCAACTTCTGGCTATGGAATCTATCTTACCCCTGGTTCTAAGAGCCTAAGCTTACTACAGTACCGAGTCAGGATAAGAACCCAAGAGCCCTATATTCCCAGTATTAGTCACCACTGAGTTTTGATTTTGTTTTTTTTTTGTAGCTGATTGGGTTGGGGTGAGGTTGTTTCTGGGGAAGAGAGGGTGCAGAAATTGAGACATACAGAGATGACAGGAACAGCTGGGTTTTTCTTGTGTCTCCTTTAAGAAAATATCCTTCTGAGACCCCTGGGAAAAGAGACAAAGGGAGAGGAGAAGGAAAGGTTGAGGGAGGGAGCACCTGTCTCAGGACTACCACCTACGTGGGGGCCCTCTGGCTACCAGTGTCCCAGGAGGGGTCCTCCATTCTGCTTCTCCCACCAAGGTACATTTTCCCCACCCTGCCTAATGCTCCAAATGGCTGAGAGTCCTCAGGTTGCAAAGACCTGGGTTCTGGGTATCATAAGGCAAGAAAGCACAGAAGTATAGTATGGGGCATATAGAGCTTTTTGTGCTTAGGGTGGCAAGGGTGGGGTGTAGTATCTATGATGTGGCTGAAGACCTGGCACTGCCTTCCCCCTGGGAAGCTCCTGAGCTGCCTCCACTTTCCCTTCAGCATGAAGGTGCTGAGAATGATGGTGGCTGGTGCTGCCCCTGCCCTGAGAACCCTACCACAAAGCCCACTTCTTTCCCTTTTCTGCCCCAGCTTCCCTGCCTCACTTGGTTTCTGCTGTGTCCTTAGGTGTTCTGGGGCCCCAGGACCATGGACGCTCTCAATAGGAACCATGTAGGCCCTGGACGCAAGACCCAGGCCATGATTCAGGTGAGTGGGGTTAGGTGTTCATGGAGGGGGCAAGAGGGCTGCAGCAGGGCTCTGGTAGCTGGTGAGAATGGGTTCGGTTCTTCTACACACCTTTGGCCCCAGCCCAAGGATGAGAGCAGCAGTTCTGTTCCTCTCTGCCCTTCCCCAGGTCCCAAGCCTATTAACAGCTCAGTCTTTATCTGAATCAGGTTAATTGGTTCACCCAGAAAACACCGTTTGAAAGTCAGGAAGCAGCTTATGGACTGACATCGAGCTGCATCACTCTCCTTGATCCATACTCCCACCTTCCCTTCTAATTTAGTTTGGTAGGGGCAAGCGATGGCCAAATGGATTCTAGGGACAAGTCTACAGCTCAGCTCAATTGACCCACCTCTACAGTACCCCCTCCTCCTTACCCAGCACCCCTGCCCCCCTCCTGCTTACTTTCTCCTCATCTCTGCTTAATAGACAAAAGGGGCACTTAAGCCAAGACTTAAATCCAGGGGGACCAGTTAGTGGCCTAGATTCAGATCTAATTACGATTTAGTGGAATGCTGCTCTGTGCAAGAGTTTGTGCTGAGCCTTTTAACACCATCAGAGCCCTCTTCAGGACCAGAGAGAGTGGTGATGTGGCTGGGAATAGGGTGGTAAGGTGCTGGCCTGGATTTTTAACGATGTTCATCCCCTACCCCCACTACGTGCAGAAAGGACCCCTGGACCTGATCGAGACAGGCAAAGGACTGAAAGTGCAGACGGACAAACCCCATCTGGTGAGCCTGGGGAGCGGGAGACTCAGCACGGCCATCACCCTCCTGCCGCTGGAGGAAGGTGAGTTAGGATAGAGGACAGGGTGTCCAGTGTCACCTGCCACCTTTCCATCCTTGTAAGCATTCCTGCCCCAGAGTCCAGGCTTCTGCACATGCTGGGGCCCCTCTTTTGTCTGCTGATAATGTTTGCCTCCCCTAAATGGGAGGCTGTGCCATCCCACTCCACAGTTTGCTTCCCTAGTCTCTGCCTCCCAGACTGCCTGCCCGATTCCGATTCCATAGATAATCTGGCTCCATGACTGGAATTAAAGATTAGTTTAGACTCCAGGAGGATAGCACTAAGAGAAACAGAAGAGCACATTGCTCTTTGCAACCAGGATGGCCCAGGAGAAAGGGGCCCCATGCCAGGGCAATGCCTGGCATGGGAGAAAGTACTGGTAGAGAATGGAAGGATAGGAGAGGGGGCAGGCCCCCCAAGATAAGACTCTGGCATAGCCTCCTACCTCACCTTTCAGCTTTTGCGCTTCCTCTCTCAGCTCCTGGCTGTACTTGTTGCCTGGGTGATACTGCATTCCCCACATTCTCCAAATACCAGTCCCAGGGGCTCTTCTGGGGGAGAGGCTGTGTGTGTGTGTGTGTGTGTGTGTGTGTGTGTGTGTGTACAGAAGCAGTTTCAGAGAGGCTACCCTGAGGAGAGGGGGAGCGAGGGGAGGGAGAGGCTGCAGGTGGCCAAAGGAAGGAGAAGAAGAGAAAAGAAGGAAGATTTAGAAGAAAAGAGAGAGCATAGGGTAAAGAGGAAAAAGGAGTTAGAGAGCGGGATTTGGGGAGACTAAGGGAGAGTCTGCAGAAAAGAGTTCCCCCTCCTGTCAGCTTTCCCACCTCTGGGCCAGAATTTTCTCTGTCTGAGAGGAGCTTCCACCACTTGCTGCCTGGACTAGTTACAGAGGCCCTCTAGGGGTGGCCAGTAGCGGACAGTGATTCTCCCTGGAATAGGAGGTGGAAATATACTTCCATGTGGCCCTGTTTGCCCTGTCCTTGCCTCCTCAGCCTGGTCAACACCTCTGACTCAGTTTGCCTCCTGTCTCCAGGGAGGACTGTGATTGGCTCTGCAGCCAGGGACATCTCACTGCAGGGCCCAGGCCTGGCTCCAGAGCACTGCTACATTGAGAACTTGCGGGGCACACTCACCCTCTACCCTTGTGGCAATGCCTGCACCATTGATGGGCTCCCTGTCCGGCAGCCTACCCGGCTCACTCAGGGTAAGTTTTGATACCCCAAAACAGAGGGGACCTCTGTTTGGAAGCTTGTGCATATTAGATGCAGAGGAAGCCTGTTGTGGTGGTTGCCATGGTAACTGTCCCAGTGGCCTTATTGGGGTTGGGGGTGCCCAGGTACATCTGGATGTGCCTAAACAACATCCCAAGCTCCTCCAGCATCCAGACCTGTCTTCAACTTGCTTTTCTTCTCTGTCACCTGCACCCTACCTCCCCACACCATGAGAAAAGAAGAGATCTAATTCCTGATATCAAAGGGCATGGCAAGTGATGTTATGGTTGTTGAGGGGAGAGCAGCTGGAGCAGTGAGAGGGGAACAGAGCATTATTCTATGGTGCCAAAAGGAAGTTGTTTTGAAAAGCTTTGGAGGTGGAGGAGAGGAAAACACCCCTGAGGAAGATGGTGAAGGGCAAAATCTGAGGACGTGCCCTCTCCTGTCGCAACACTGGTGACAGTAGCTTTTGGGTCATGAATATGGTTACCATCCTGTTTCCAAAGCCACAGACCATTCTGTTGTGTTAGGTAGCTCAAAACTGGGTCCCTAGTTACTATGGTTACCAGGTATGTAGGGGGTTGGTCCAGGTGGTACTTGACAGACTGGGTGTGTTCACCCTAGAAATGGGGTTCTTCTGGGTATTAATTCATACAGGGAATTGTCAGATTAGAGGAATGAGAAAAGAAGATATGGGTAGGGGGAGAGGTGGGGTTAATTTGGGGCTGGGGGCTTTGGGCTTAGCCTTGCTTAGAGCAGGAGGACTGATGACCAGGCATGGTTTTCTGGATACTCTTACTGGCTGGAAGCTCCTTCACATGGAAATCCCTGTAGCCCTCTCCTTCTTTTCACACCCCTTGGAGCCTTTAAATGCAACTCCCTTCACAGCTGACCCAGGAGACCAGTCCTTGCTCCACTCCTTTCTTCCTGCCCTCTGTGGGGCATGGCTGACTTGAGGGAGGCAGGTTGGACAGCAGCAGCAGGAAGGCCCTTGCCTTCCCCGGGGCTTCCAAGTCTCTGACTCCGGATGAGAGGAGGAACCTCCATTAATTGGGGCTTGGGCTGTGATGCCATCTCGTTCATGGTGGTCCTCTTCAATCTCAAAGAGAGCATCTTCCCCAAGATATGGGTGTGTGGGGGTGGACAGTAGAACAGCAAAGAGAGGTAGGGACAAAGTTTAAAGTAGGCTGGAGAAAGAGCCTAGCCCTTACTCCCCTCACCCCAAATCACATCCCATTCATGGTAAGAACATTCTTGGCATTTGTGTTGTGAATAGGGTAGAGAAACTGATGCTCTGTATGCCTCTCTGTCCACTCTTCCCAGTGCATCATGTAGCTCCCTGGGGAGAGAGGGGACCTGGAACCAAGATGGAATTCTTAGGCATTTCATGTGGCCCCAGTGACTCTTCCCAGCCAGAAGCCCACCCTGCCAAGTATGCATGCTCCACTCTCTTCCGACCCTAAACCCCCTTCCCTTCCCCCCCACCCCCACCCCCATAGCCTTCTTGTCTGGGCTGGCCTGTCTCAGAAGCTTGGCAGCCTGGGGAGGGGTGGGCAGAGGCACAAAGGAGCGGGTGTTCTTCTCCCCAGCCCTCCCCCTCCCCTGGGCTCCAGGAGCTGAGGGTTTCCTTGTCTCATCTTGGAGCAAGACACCAAGCCCAGCCCTGCCTGGCCCCACTCCGGACATTCTTGGAAGTGCGTTTCCCTGGAAACTGGGTGGCTCGGGGTGCTTGTGCTATCTCTGTGTGTCTGTGTAAGTGGAGTGTGTTTATGTATCTCCGGATGTGTTTGTGACTCTGGGCTTGTGTATCTCTTTGTGTCTTTCCTTGTGTTTATGGATCAGTGTGTTCGTGTGGCGAGCAGGGGTGAACTCAGGACTGTGGGTACCAAAGTGTCTGTGTGTGTACTCCTATGTATATATGAGAACTCATTGGCCACATACCTATCTGTGGGCATATGTAGAAGAGGAGCATTTTCCCTGTCCTGTTCTTCTAACCCAGCCTTGTAAAGGGGACCCTCCTCTTTAAAAACAGAGGGCTACCCTGGGAATAACAAGAAGCCCACTCTCTCTGGGCCAGGCCCTAGATGCATCATTCTGGGCACTGTGCCCAGCCGTCAGCAACTTGGAGAGGCCCACTTCATGGCTAGCAGAGATGGCAGTGACAGACTCTTCTAGCAGGAATATGCTTGGGCGGGGCAGAGAGGGGAGCAGGCAGAAAGCAGATGCCAACCTTTAGCCTAGAGCTATGGACATGGGAGCATGAAGTGAGGGAGCCAGGAAGATCCTGATTCCACCCCTCCCCCGACTGGGTACCTTGGCATGTCCCATGTCCCACGCTGCCCTCTTCTCTACAGAGCAAGGGGTGGAGCTGGGAACAGGACCAAGGAAATGGGGAGGAATCTCAGTCTGGGCCTAGCCTGCCCCACCCGGGACCACAGTGCCAGACCACATGAAAGATCTGGGAGGGACTAAGCAGGGGAGGACCCAGAAAGCCACACAGCACAGGGCCCAGGCTGTCTAGACAGTTGGTCCCCATCCACTCCTACTATTCGCTGCCTAGTCTCCAAGTCTCCTTCGCTCCCTAAGCCCTTCATTGGTGGGTTGGGGCTTGTGTGAGGGCCAGCAGGGAGGATCCTGGAGCGTGGTTGTGTGGCCAGGATTCCTGGGTTATCCAGCTCTCTCCCTCTGGGATCCAGGACATTGACCCTCTCCCTCTCCTACTCAATTATCAGTGATTTCTTCTGTAAACTGGGAGTGAAGCCTCCAATCTTCCTGTTATAAGGCTGATAAAGATCTTGACTGATAAAGCTCAAAGGAAGAAGAACCCCTATCTTCCCACTTCCTTATGCTTGCCTGCCTCCTGCTCAGTTTCTCACTGGCAGGAGTCCTCCGTGTCTGTCTGGGTCTATCCAGCTGGCTGTCACAGTTTCCATACAGATGCATCACTCTTCCTGAGATTTAAAAAAAAGACTCCCCTTTTTTTTTTTTTTTTGCATTTGACTCTATATGGTTCTTCCCTTTTTGTTCAGAAGGGAAGCAGGACATGTGTGCATGGGTGTGAGTGTGTAGTACGGCAGTGTAGGTAGGTGGGGTAAGGGGACATTCAACAAGGATGAAAAAATTGCCTGATGATTCATTCCTCTATGAAGGCTGACTTCTTATTTCATAGTCTCTCTAGGGGCTGAGTGAAAGGATGTCTGTGAGTATGTAACTATGAGGGGGCTTGGTGCCTGTGGGGATATGTATGAAAGACAGTGAATGTGCTTAACTGGAGTGTTTGTGTGGCTCTAAGTGTGCACGGCTGACATAGTGCCTGTGTATATGTGAGAGAAGGTGTGTGGGGTTATGTGAGTTGCTGAGCACATACAATGTGTCTCAGAGAATGTGGTATGTCCATAAAATTTTTCTGGCCCAGACTCTGGAACAAGAGGAACTCTCTGGGGTTCCGGAAGGGTGGTAGGTACCTTCCTGGCTGAAACTTCAGCCTGATCTTGGAGACTCAAGAGGTAGGCTACACTGTTTCCCAGATGGGTAAGGTAAGGTGCCTTATTGGGGGTGAGGGGGAGCTGCTTGCTGGGGCTGGCACAACTAGAGGTTGTGGCTGGGAGGAGTCACGGTTAGTTTCCGGAGGCCCAGGGAAGTGGACTGGCTTGGAAGAGGCAGTGCCTTGGTCCAGCCTGGGTTGTGGGGTGAACTGTGGGAATGGAGGCCAGAAGAGGAGGCATTTAGCATGGAGGCAGGAGCTGGGTTCCATGCTTCTTGCATTGCACAGAGCACTATCTTAGCCTGAACTCCAGGGGGAAGGACTTGACCTTGTCAACAGTGGCAGACTAAGTGCCAGAGCTGGACCTAATGACCTAGCTGGCTCCCTGGGAGTTCCGCTCTTCTCTGGAATCTGATATATGGAGCCACGGAATGTCAGAGCTGGACCTTTGAGGTCATTGAGCCCAGCCTCCTCATTCTATAGGTAAAGAATCTGAGGCCAGAGAGTGTGACTGGCCCAAGGTCACATAGCAGTCAGGGCCAGAGTTGGCCCCCAAACCAGGCCCCCAGGTCCACTGACTTCCAGCCAGAGGGAACTGGAAGTGAGAGTCCTCACTGCTGCCACCTGGCTCTTCATCCTCTGGCCTCTGTGTTTACATCTCATTTTCCCTCGTCACCTCCCGCGAACCTTTCCTCCGCTGCCCCACTTTTACCCCAGCCCCGGTTGCGGAATCCCGGCGCTGGCTCCCTCGCTCCATCCCCCGCCCTGCCCCGCCCTTTCCATCCAGCTCAACTCTCTTCTCCTTCATCACTTCCTTTTCTCCTCCTACTCTCCTTTGTCCCTCCCTCCCTGGCTCCCTTCCCCCACCGGTGGTGGCCGGCCCGCCCCTCCCTGGGCATTGGTGGCTGCTTGCAGCCTTGCTGCTTGCTCGGAGCCTGGAGCCCGCGGCGCGGGAGGTCGGCCCGCCCCCTCAAAGGCTTGGCTGGGCTGGGAACCTGGAGGACTGAGCTAGCGGAGGCAAGCGGCCCTGAGGTCCCGGCTGGGCGGTGAGTCCCCAGCCCCGGCCAGCCATAGCCCCCGGCAGCCGGGCGGGGAGAAGCACGGGCTAGGAGCGACGGCTGGGGGTGGGGTGGGTAGGGTGGGCACCAGCCGGGGAAGGGCACCTCGGCCTCTCTTTGGGGGCTTTAGGATGTGAGGCCCCGGACATTTCTCAGTGTGGGGTCTGGGCTTGGTGTGTCGGGGGGGGGGGCACTCCTCAGCGGGGAGTGTACCTCCTCATCTTCCCGAGTCCTCGGCAGGTCTTCTCCACAGACCGCCACCCGGTGGGTTGAGGGGTCCTGATTAGCATGAGAGGGGCCTGAGTTATGGGGGGGGGTCTCTGACACAAGAGCCAAGGCTCTTCCTTTCATCTTCCCCTCACCCAGCCTCCGTTTGGCCATTCTATTTGTGTGGCTAGCAGGGCAGTGACTCGCTCAGTGAGTGTGTGAGCTTGTAGGTCTATGAGTATGGCGAGTGTGTCTCTGTGAGTCCCTGTGTGTTTCTGTGAGCATCTATGTGAGGGGTGTGTGTGTGTTTTCCCCTCTGCGTCTCTCAGAGATAGGATCCACCCTCTCCTTTGCCCCTTTTTCCACTCCAGATGTGCAGCTCCCCCACCCACCTGCACACAGCTGGGACCTGAGCCCCTCTGGGCTTTGACTGATGGGAAGGGGTTCCTGGGTTTCCTGAGTGGGCTGCCTATTGGAGGTATGAAGCAGAAGTGGACAGAGAGGTTTCTTCCCAGAAACTGAGGCTGGCTTGGCTCCTAGGGGCAGTAGGGTCAGAGTTGCATTAGCATGGGGCCCCTGAATGCAAATAGAAAGTTAAATTTGCGCAGGAGCTGGGCAGCTTTCAGTCCTGCTGCCCCCCTGCCCGCTCTATTAATATGGCTCCAACTCTGCTGCCTGGCATCACCTATTTATAGCCCAGAGGCAGCATGGCCACACCCCCTGTGTTGGGGAGGGTGAGGGGCAGAGGAAGGGGCAGGGAACTCATAGCTACAGGGGCCAGGGTGGAGGGTCCCTAGATGCCAGCAGCCTTCTTGGGTGGGCCTGTAGCTGATAGGCTGGAATCCACCCAGACTGCCTACCTCCTTCCACACCTGGACTGGGTGGTCAGGCTCCTGATCCCCACCACTCTCTCCCCTCATCAACCTAAGGTTGAGTGGGTCTGTCTAGACCCTATGAACTCATCATTAATTAGCTTGTTAAATGACTGAAAAGGAGGGGGAGGGCTCTTTCTGAAACAGCTGTGGTTGTAATTATGTGGACAGTGTGGTTGGCTCTTATTTTTTTGGTTATGATTACTCTGGGATTCTCTGATTGGTGGCTTGGCAGGGATGGCTCCCCTACCCCCCAAACACCCATCAGCATTTGTTGGTACGTGCCTACCTTGGAAGGCCTGTGGGCATGCCAAGGTAGTGGGTAGCTTTGTCCACTGTGGCGATCTGCTATGAGGTTTTAAGCCTGCTAGCCCTCGACGACACAGCAATGCCCAGGGTCCGAGCAATAGGCTGTTCAGCTTCTCAGTGGGGGCCTTCCAAGGTACCCACGTGGCCTGGGATGCCCCTTGCCCTCGAGGCCTGCCTGAGTTGAACTGTCTCAGCGTCCAGGAATGTAGACTTCCTTGCCAGTCTAAGCTCAGACTGGCATGAAGCTTGGGGTGCCAAGTGGCACCAGATTGGGTAGACAGGAGGCTGGGGCCCAGGGGCCCAGGGGCCCGGTGTGTGGACACATGGGTGGGTGGTAGAGAGCATCAGGGCTCTGGCTTCTCCCAGCGCAGTATCTTTTGAAGGAGCCCTCTAGCACCTGGTGTGGCCAGGAGGAGGAGTTCTGCCAGCCAGGCTGCGGGCACCCCTGCTGCTGTGCACACTCCTAGTGCCCCTGGCTACATTTTCTGGCTTCCACATCCCTTCCCCCCCACATGCACTTACACTTCCTGGGCAGGACTGGGCTTGTGTCTACTGCCCGGGAATGTGCTAGGCTGAGGCCAGGCCCAGTGGCCTAGGCTTGGCTAGATTCCAGGGGAGACCAGGGAGCAGAAAGATGTCAGGCCAGAGGGTGCTTTGTCAGGAAGAAAGAGGGTGGTGGTCCCCAGACTCTCAGAGAGGGTGGCAGAGCTCTCTTTGGGCCACACAGTGATAAGGAGCCAGACATTTTACCCTGTCGCCAACTCAGAGCTCCTTTTGTGATCCTGGAAGTAGTTGCCTCTCCAATTGTCCCATCCATCCAAGGGGCAAATAGATGGGTCATGGATACAGGCTGAGGTGGGGGGACATGGGTGTCCATGTTCTCTGAAGAACCTTCTCCATTTACAGAGCATATTCACGTGCACTGTCTTATTAACCTGTAAGATCAGTAGTATTGTCCCCATTTTTCTGATAAGAGAACTGGACTCAGAGGTGAAGTGACTTCACCCAAAGATCTCATAGCCGTTAAGAAGAGGAGTTAGGACTAGGACTCAGATCTTGGGACTCTCAAACCAGTGCCCTTTGCACTCTGCTGTGTGCTATGAAGACCTGGAAGGCCCTGTCTCAAGCACAGGTGGGGCCGGGTGCCCTGGAGGACACTTGTAAAACTATGTGGACACTGTGGGTGCAGGTGGGGACACCTGTGGTGAGCCCTGGCCTGCCCTGTCAAGCTTTTGCTTTCTCTGCAGGCTGTATGTTGTGCCTGGGCCAGTCCACCTTCCTCCGCTTTAACCACCCGGCTGAAGCCAAGTGGATGAAGAGCATGATTCCGGCAGGGGGCCGGGCCCCTGGGCCCCACTACACCCCTGGCCATGGTAGGTACCCAGCTGGGACAGGGGATTGGGTTGGTGGCACCTCTTGCCCTCCTTGCCCACTCCAGTGACACTTTGAGTGTCAGGGCAGGACAATACCCATCGTCTGGGCTCACTGCCACCTGCCATGGGCCACTGGTGAAGAATACCAGGTGGTCGGGCCACTGGGAGAAATCCAAGGCAGTGCTGCTTGGCTGGAATTGGGGAATCATGTGCCCAAGGGGTGGGGGGCTCTGCCAGCCTGTGCCCCACTGCCCTGGAAGATGCTGCTCAGTGTCTGGGACCCTGGCCTTCTGTGTCCAGGGAACCAGCAACACCTTGGCCTTACCCTCGAGGGTAACCTGATGGGCAGAATGAAGCATTAGGTTGTACCCTTAGTAAGCGCTGGTGGGTCCCACCTGCTGGTAATCATGTCCTTGGGCCCTACCCCACCCCCAGGCCAGGCCATGCCAGCTGATGACTCAGTGGAACAGCTGCAGTTTGTGTGTGAATTATTGATCCCCAGAGGAGAATTGGTGATTGTCCCAGGGAACCAGCACAGCCCCCCTCAGCCTAGCTGCCTAGGGGGTGGAGTGCAGACCAGAATGCCAGTGCGCCTCCCGCCCTAGACTTTGCACTGGCATTCAGATGGCTGTGGGATGACAGTGCCAACATAGTGCTGAGGCAGGTGGACATATGTCAGGTAAACCTAGTGAGGTGGCATCAGTAGCATAAACAGATAGACTGGGGACCTGAGGGAAGGTGGGTGGTCACTGGGGTCATCAGTATCCATGAAAACCTCTCTGGCTTGTGGTCCCACACAGTCCCCACAGTTTGGACCCAAACAGTCTTGCAAACACTGTATCCCCTATCCCTCCCATCTTTTCCAGCCCCCTGGGGGATCAGAAGCCTAGTTCTCAGTCCAGTTCCTGGTTACTTCTACCCTGTCCCCTATCCCGACCTTTGTGATACTGCTCCCTCAGCTGTTTGGGGGCAGTGGATCCAGGGACTCCTGGTTGGTTGACTATGCCTGAGGCAGGGCCAAGGTGGGCTCTTGCTGACGGGGCTTAATGGGATAATTGGAGGCACTGAGCTACACCTAGTTGCCAGCCAGCCTAGCTTCTAGGAATCAGCTATTAGCACCAGACCCTTCCCCTGCTTCTGACTGGACAAAGTGGTGCCGCACACACCGCTCACCCAGCCCAGCCCTGGAGCCTTTGCTTTTCCCTGGGCCTCTGACTGCACCCTGGAGGATGTCCTATTAGACTGGGAACCCCAGGAAGTTCTGGCCAGCTATGCCGCAGGCCCCCATTCCCTTTGCAGGACGTCCACCTGCCCTTTCTGAAGGGGAGGTACAGGAGGTTTGGGAAACCAAGGTAGGGGAGGAGCCTAGTCTGGGGTGAGTCAGCAACAACTAGGCCTAGAAGTGCCTGGCATTGTCTGCCCTGAGGCATCATCACCAACTCTTCCCTGAGTCATAAAATGTTAGAGCAAGAAGGGCCCTGCCCATCCTCATGCTTACAGAGGGGAAACTGAGTCACACTGAGGGCAAGTGGCTTGACTGCGGTTGCACAGCTGGTCAGCGGCAGAGCCTTTGCAGCCCCACCATGCTAGGAGGAGGTAGGGGAGTACTCTCTGTTGTGAATATGCAGCTCCCCAAATGGAGACCAGGGCCTGAGGCCTCTTTGCCTTTCCTTTCAGCTGAATCTGAAAGCCTGGTGAATGGAAACCACACCCCACAGCCTGCCACCCGGGGACCCTCCACCTGTGCCAGCCACAGTTCCCTGGTAAGCTCTATTGAGAAGGACCTGCAGGAAATCATGGACTCACTGGTGCTAGAGGAGCCTGGCGCTGCTGGCAAGAAGCCTGCTGCAACCTCTCCACTGTCACCGATGGCTAATGGGCGCTACCTGCTGTCCCCTCCAACCAGCCCCGGTGCCATGTCTGTGGGCTCCAGCTATGAGAACACCTCGCCAGCCTTCTCTCCGCTCTCTTCACCAGCCAGCAGTGGAAGCTGTGCCAGCCACTCGCCCAGCGGGCAGGAGCCAGGACCTTCTATGCCCCCACTGGTTCCCGCCCGCTCCTCTAGCTACCATCTGGCCCTGCAGCCCCCACAGCCCCGCCCAAGCAGTGCCCACCCCTCTGAGAGCCCCCGGCTGAGCAGGAAAGGAGGGCATGAGCGGCCTCCCAGCCCTGGCCTCCGGGGTCTGCTGACAGACAGCCCTGCAGCCACTGTCTTGGCGGAGGCCCGCAGAGCCACTGAGAGCCCCCGGCTGGGTGGGCAGCTGCCCATGGTGGCTATAAGTCTGAGCGAATATCCCACTTCCGGTGCCCGTAGCCAACCCACAAGCATTCCTGGCAGCCCCAAGTTCCAGCCTCCAGTCCCTGCTCCTCGCAACAAGATTGGCACACTCCAGGACCGCCCTCCCAGCCCTTTCCGTGAGCCACCAGGCATTGAGCGAGTGTTGACAACCAGCCCCTCGCGCCAACTAGTGGGCCGAACATTTTCAGATGGGTCAGCCACCCGTACCCTGCAGCCTCCTGAGAGCCCCCACCTGAGTCGGCGGGGCCTGGACAGTATGCGGGAACTCCCCCCACTGAGCCCATCTCTTTCCCGACGGGCTGTCTCCCCCATGCCTGCCCGGACCACTCCCGATCCCAAGCTAACTAGGGAAGTGGCAGAGAGTTCCCGGCCTCGGCGCTGGGCAGCCCACGGGGCATCACCAGAGGACTTTTCCCTGACTCTGGGTGCACGGAGTCACAGGACACGGAGCCCCTCACCCACGCTTGGGGAGTCCTTGGCACCCCGCAAGGGCAGCTTCAGTGGCAGGCTGAGCCCAGCCTATAGTCTGGGCTCACTGACTGGGGCTTCGCCCCGCCAGAGCCCCCGTGCCCAGAGGAAGCTCTCCAGTGGGGACTTAAGGGTGCCTGTCACCCGGGAGCGGAAAAACAGCATCACAGAGATCAGCGACAACGAGGATGACCTCCTGGAGTACCACCGGCGGCAGCGCCAGGAGCGACTCCGGGAGCAGGAGATGGAGAGGCTGGTGAGTGGATGCCAGGAGGCTGCCTGCCGTCCAGGGCAGGGTCTCTGCCAGGGCCTGGGCAGGCCAGCTGGCAGAGTGGGAGGGGGTCTGGGACAGGGCCTGGCCTTCTCAGGCTTCCCCACCTCCAGGGTTCACCTTGATGATGGATGCTGCCAGGTTCTGGTGCCCTAAAGAATGTTCTTTGAAATCTCTGAGGCTTTATTTTAAATGCATGCTTATTTTGCATTTATTTTACAACATGGCATTTGTCATAATGTATAAATTAAGTTTTGCATTATTTACCTGAGTACAGTGAAGCTCTAGGAAGACACTCCACATTGATGGTAAGGCCTTACATTTCTCAGTTTGAGAAGCAGACCTTCATGATGAGAAGGCTGAAGCCCAGAGAGAGGAGTGGGTTTATCCCATGAGCTCTTGGAACCTGTCTGAGGCTTCTTCTTTAGAAAAGCTCCTGATCCTTCTTTCTTGCTTCTCTTTGACCTCTACAAATGGGTAGTCTTGCCTCCCATGGCCCAGTGGGACCATTTGGGAGTGGGGGTGGCAGGAAGAGGGCAAGAATGAGCAGGCAGCCCTGACCTGACCCCAGGCTGGTCTGTGTGATTGTGTGTGTCCACGTGCATGTGTGTGGGTGCGTGCAGGGGCCGGGTGTGGCTCTGGGCAGCTGTCTGGAGACAGCATCTGAGCTGGGTGGGGGCCAGGATTCCCCAGATAGCACAGGGAGCTGAAGGGGCTCTGGGTGGTGTGTTCGCATGGAGCCCACGTACAGGAGGAGAATGGGTTTGGCGCCTCCCATGCCCTCTCTCCCTTGAGAGCAGAAGAACAGAGTTCTTGGGGGAATAGGAACCCTGGGATTAGATGGAGGAGGAGAACCAGAGCTGAGGAGGTTTGTCTGGGGACAAAGGACAGTTCTGGGTGAGGGTGTGGGGTAGTGTGTTTATCTTGGGTGAGGGAGAGATGAGGCAGGATCCCCTGTCTTTCCCTTTGCTGCATCTTCTCCTTATTCTTTTTACCTTGGTCTAGAAGAGAATGCTTGTCCCACCCTGGGATCACATCCTGGAGAAGGGCCATGAGCCTGGCACAGGCAGAGTGGTGGCTCAGACCTCCTCACCTCCTCTATCCAGTCTCCCCGCCCCTCATCCCTACACACAAGCACACACCTCACCACCAGCCCTGACCTGCCCCACCTGCCACTTTAAGTCTTGGAGGCTGGCTGCCCTGCCCCTCCCACCTTACCCAGGCTGCTTATCTGGGCCCTAGGGTGGGGGTGGGGACACTAACCCAACCTCCTGGGTGCTGAGGCTTGGTTCCTGGTCTTTTTGCCTTAGAGCTGGGCAAACAGCAGGAGCGAATCTGGGTAAGTATCTGGGGGTCATGGCCAAACTGTAGACAGTGAGAGACACCTGAGGAGGTTGAGCGTGTCTTTGCGTCAACCCTGTGTGTCAGGTCCCTGTGGGCCCGTGGTCGGCTGTCCACTGTCTGTGTGGGTGCCCACCTGCGTGTGTGCTAGATCATGTTTATCCACGCGTCAGTGCGCATTTGTGCGTGTCAGGGCTGGTGTCTGCCTGGTAATGCAGGGACAGCGTGGTTGTGTGTCGGGTAGTCAGTGAGGGTGTCTCTGTGTGCCTTATCTGTGGGTCTTCGTGTATCTGTGTGCGCATGTGCGCCTGAGTGTCTGTGTCTGAGGGTGGTCCTTAGTCTGTGTACCAGTATGTGTTCCTGTGTTTGTCTGGGTGTGCCCATGCGTCCACGAGGGAGCCTCTCCTGGCATAGAATGAGAAGGGAAAGGAAACAGGAACATGGGAGGAGCTGGCCACGTGGCCAGATGACCCAGCAGCCTGTCTCCTCCTGCCAACTTCTAGGGTGCCCACCTTCCGTCTGCCTCTCCCAGACCTTGGGGTTGGGGCTCTCCTGACTTGATGCCAAGCCCCTAGGGTCCAAGTTCTCGCTTCTGCCAGGATACCATGCCTGGCTCTAGCCCGACCAGGACCTGGCCTCCTCCCCCTCATGCCCTGCTCTGTCCACCCTGCCTAGGAACGCCAGCGTCTTGAGACCATCCTGAACCTGTGTGCTGAGTACAGTCGGGCTGACGGGGGCCCTGAGGCCGGGGAGCTGCCCAGCATTGGGGAGGCGTCTGCAGCACTGGCGCTGGCGGGCCGGAGGCCCTCGAGGGGCCTTGCAGGGGCCATGGGGGCTTCTGTGCGGAGCAACGAGGAGCCTGGAGGAGGCACCCAACGCCTGTGGGAGAGCGTGGAACGCTCTGATGAGGAAAATCTCAAGGAGGAATGCAGCAGCACTGAGAGCACCCAGCAGGAGGTAGGATGGGCTAGGCTGGGTCAGCCTGCTAGGAGGCAGAGGAGGCTGGTATGGTAGTTGCTAAGGACCAGGGAGGGGTAAGTAGTAGAAAAATCAAGTTTGGGAAAAGACTGGAGTCCAGAGGTGTAGAAACGAGGAAGCAAGGAAGACAGGAGAGGTGTTGTTGAGTTTCCCAAGCTGTATATACGATTTATGACCTGCCCTTCCTTGGGGCCTCACCCAGGCCTGGCATTCAACAGTAAATCTTTATTCCCTCGAGCTGAGCCCTGTTGCTCCCCATGCAGAGGGATTTGCCTCCTATCTCAGTCCAGTTACTGGACTGAGTGCCCACTTGGGAATGAGGATCCATTCTCTTAGTCTGACTCTGGAAGGCTCCAGCTTCTCCAGCTGATGGCTTCCCTGCCCTCCAGCATGAAGATGCACCCAGCACCAAGCTCCAGGGAGAGGTGCTGGCCCTGGAAGAAGAGCGGGCTCGGGTGCTAGGGCGAGTGGAGCAGCTCAAGGTCCGTGTGAAGGAGCTGGAGCAGCAGCTGCAGGAGTCTGCCCGGGAGGTGAGTCCCAAGGGCCCCAGGCAGAGTAGGGACTCCCAGAGAGGGGCCTGAGTCCAGCAGCCTTGACGTGGACCCTGGCGTCTGCCCACAGGCTGAAATGGAGCGGGCACTGCTGCAGGGGGAGAGGGAGGCCGAGCGGGCACTATTGCAGAAGGAGCAGAAGGCAATGGACCAGCTGCAGGAAAAGCTGGCAGCCCTGGAGACAGGCATCCAAAAGGAGAGGGACAAGGTAACTCATACCTGGCCTGGCCCAGTGCTGGGTACCGGCGGCCTGGGAGAGAAGGAGAAAATGCCTTCTCTGGGGCCCTGCACCCCTCACCTCATCCACCTTGCAGACCAGGAGGTCTCTGTGCCCGTCCGGGCCAGAGGGCCTTGACCTCTGTGAAAGGTACCAGCTTGGAGGGCACTGCCAGGGGCTGGGCTGGTGTCTGGGGCCTCCTCTGTCTGGGTCTTTGTGCTACCTCTGGGTGCCTGGGTACCTACCATTCTAGGCCCTTCATGGCCTTTCTAGGAAGTGCCAAAGCCCCCACTTGGGCAGTGAGCACAGTCCGAGGGCACTGGTGCTGGGGAGTGGTTCAGGTTTGGGTCTGACCAGCTGGAGCACATCTCCCTCCAAGCATGACTCCAGTGCTCAGGATGTGGTCTTTGGGAGATGGCCCTCAGGCCTCTGCTTCCCCTGAGCCTTCTGGATCTGCAGCCTCTCATCCCAGATGGTCCCAGCTCCTACCCCCACCCCTTTCAGATTTCATGCCAGCCTGCAGGGCCCACTCTGTCCCACAGGGGCCATGCCAGCCACACCCAAGATGCCCAACAACGTGCCAAAAGTTCTGAAGTGAAGAGGGGCCATCTATTTCTGGATTTGACAGTATTTTTCCAAGAATTTAATTTTCCTTCTGAATTTTTTGAGAGTATCTTCCTCCTGCCTTCAATTCTGAGGCTCTTAAAAATTCTTTGACACATTTTTTGGAGCTTTGGCCCCCAAAACCACACTCCCAAATTCTGTGCCAAATTAACTCCACACTTGCCAACCAGGCCTGTACTAACGCCCCCTCTAATCACTGTTCTGGGCTCTCTGCATGCCCCTAACTGCGAGTGCCATCCAGGCAGTGCTGAGCCACGCGTGCCTTTGTACTAACTCCAGGGGCACCTCTGTGCCCCTTGTTTCTCCCTCTAATGCTGCCGCTTTCTTTTCTTGGTGTGGGACCCCAGGGATTTGATCAGAAAGGGATGGGTAGGGGGGCATAGCTCAACCCTACACAATGGGACATTGGCAAGAGGGGTACAAAGTTGGGGGAATTGCTTGGCTCAGGAGCTCCTCCCATTTGAAAAAGCCTGGGTTGCCCTCTCCACAGAATGTTGGCAGTTTTCTGCATAGTAGAGAGAGGCAGGCTGTTCCCCAAGTACCCCTACCTTGCCTATGGAGCAGGAAGGGTAAGCAGGTTCAGTTGTGGCATGTCCTGTGGAGGGCTTGGACAGGGGCTCTCTGCCAACACAGTGGCTACTCTTCGTAGCTTTCTCTTGGGGCTTCCTAAATTCAGATACCCTAACCAGAGGGTGGGAATGGGGAGGCCATCTGGAACATAGTATAATTTAAAAGCTGAGCCCAAGGATGGGGAAGTTTCTGGATCCAGGAGCTGGCCTGATTGGGTCCTCTTCTCCAGGGAGGGAGGGGTGTGGTGGAGGGATGGGTGTGTGGATGAGAAGACAGGTTTCAGTATAGGTGCTTAATCCTGGGGTGAAGTTCAGCATTTCACAAGGAACCTGCTTAGCCTCATTTCTTCTTGACCTGGGATTGCCTGGAGGCCTGGATTTTGCCTTCTTTCTGGGCCAGGTTATTGGAGGTTGTGGTGGTGATGGTGGTGGTGGTGGTGATGGCAGTGGATATGGGGTGGTGGCGGTGGGGATGGTTTACTTAGCTTCCCTCTCCAGCCCCGGCCTCAGCCTCTAGCCCCATTCCCAGCCCTCAGCCCTATCCCCACTCTGGCTTGGGAATCAGTGATCACAGTTTCTCCTCTGCCTGTCCTTCGGAGGGGTGACTCACCAACTCCTCCCCTTGTCCCCCTTCCCGCCCTCAGAGGTGTCATCTCGCCCCAGACAGAGCCATCCACCTCCTCTCTGTACCCACTCCTGGGGCTCCTATTACCATGGCAACGGCCGAACTAATTGTAACCCTCATCCCTGCTGAGGTTCAGCCTGCAGTGCCAGCACCCAAACCCACCCCCATCCCCACCTGGGCAGGAGGGAGGGAGGCCGAGGGCAGGCTGGGCTGGGGTCCCCTCCACTGCACTGCTGTTGCTCTAACATCCTCAGCTCCTAATTCACACCTCACCCCTGCATTTAACCCTTACCGTCCCTACTCTTTCCCCAGGGTTAAATTTTGGTCTCTGGGCAGCAGAAGAGGGGAAGATGAGGGGCTAGAGGCCCCATGTTTGTGATGCAGAACCTGCCTTGACCTTGACTGTTTTGGAGAAAGAACAAATGGAGGGTCTTTTTTAGGACCTACCCAAACACTTGTAGTTGAAGGGACTGCAAGAGACCACAATTTCTGTCTTGCACCCACTCTCTGCCTGTGACACCCTCCCCTTCACCTGAGTCCCCTCCCTAAACCGCAGTTCTTGCCTCTTGTTTACCGTCCCCCCTTATTCTTCATCTCTCTCCTACCTCATTTCCCCTTTCGATTCTTTACTTTCTCCTCTCCTGGTGGTTCTCCTCTTTTATCCTTCCTCTTCCCCCCTCTTCTCCCTCATCCCCTGTCCGACTTCTCTCGCCCCAGCCGCCACCCCGCCCCCTCGCGCCTCCGCCGGGCCGGAGTTGAGGAGTGTGTGTTCTGTTTCTCCCCTGTGCCGCCCTCCCGCCTCCCGCCGACCAGGAGAGGGCGGAGCTGGCCGCGGGACGGAGGCACCTGGAGGCCCGCCAGGCGCTCTACGCCGAGCTCCAGACGCAGCTCGATAACTGCCCCGAGTCAGTGCGGGAACAGTTACAGGAGCAGCTGAGAAGGGTCAGTGTCACCAGCTCCCTTCCCCCAGCCCCCCCGGGCCACCCGCCCAGAAAGAAGAGGAGTGCGGTGGGACGGGACCACCTGGCCCCAGCAGTACCTGCCGGACACCAGGGTCGGTGCTGTGGCTTGGAAGGGACCAGGAAGGGTTGGGGGGCGGGGTTAGTCCTCTCCTTACTGCGGCTCCTGCATCCCAGGCAAAGCCAAGCCGAGGAGAGGGGCTGGGTGGGGCAGGAGCAGGTCACTTCCCCACTCCCCTCAGGCCCAGCGCCCAGAAGCCACAAGTCTGTGGCCTGGCCTTCCAGGCCCAGAGTGGCCTTGTGAGCTCTCCCAACCCCGGCTGTCACTGTCGTTCAAGGAGGCAGAGGCCCTGGAGACTGAGACGAAGCTCTTCGAGGACTTGGAGTTCCAGCAGCTAGAGCGGGAGAGTCGCGTGGAGGAGGAGCGGGAGCTGGCCGGCCAGGGGCTGCTCCGGAGCAAGGCTGAGCTGCACCGCAGCATCGCCAAGCGGAAGGTGTGACCCGCCGCACCGCCGGCAGTCTGGGCGGCGGGGGCTGGAGTCAGTGACCTGGGTGTGAATCTCATGCAAGTTAACTTCACTTTCGGAGCCTCAGTTTCCTAGCTTGAAAACAAAATGGTAAAAGGCTGGTGTGAGAATGAAAGGAGATGACAGCACAGGATATGCTGGATGTAAACACCCAGCGAGCAAGAGCTGTTATTAGTAAGCCCTGACTCCCCTCAGTCTTCCAGTGGAAAGTGTATTCAGCTCTCATTATGAGGTGGGCACTGGCTGGGCAGGGAGGGGAAAGATGGAGGAGGAGGAGAAGGTTGGAAAGGAGGCCTATCCTGGCCCTCATAGAGCTCTGTCTGGTGGAAGTGCTGGGACACACCGAAAGGCCAGAGATCTGGATATGAGAGCCAGCAGGACCCTAGAAAGAGCACACCCCTGGGTTTCAGCCCTGACACAGCTTGGACTTGGCTAAGGCTGCTTACTTGTCTGACTATAAAACAAGGGAACTGGGTGTGCTGTTTGGCTCTGAAGCTCTGGATGCTGTGATGTCTGCTCCTGATCTCAGCCAGAGCAGGCACAGAAGGTGACAGGTGGTGGGGCAGGTGTGTGTAAAGGCCAGAGTAAAGTTGGGAAGGCTCCCTGGAGGAGGCCGGTGCTGAGCAAGGGCTAGGAAGCTGTGGGAAGGAGGATGGGGAGATGGCCCCCATAGCTTCCCTAGGGCCGGGGCTTGTGTGTCTGTGCACACATGTACATACGCGTGTGTAGCTTGCTGGGTGGAGGGAGTGTGAGAGGTAAGGGAGTGAAATTGGAGAGGGGAGTCAGGGGCCTTAATGTCTAGCCTGAGTTTGGTAGTAAGTGGGGAGCCCCTGAGTCTTCCCCTGAATCTACATCCCTTGCTTCTCTCTCTGAGATGCTCTGCTGTACAAGGGCATCCACTTTCCAGATGTGAGGCTGATGAAGGAGGGAGGAAACTGAACACTTCCCAAGCACATGGGTGTGTACCAGGCATCCACCCAGTGAGGAGGCTTCCCCAGGTTGTCTCGTGTTGTCCTTAGGATGGTTCACAAGTCAGGTAGTCTTATTCCAATTTACAGACAAGGAAACTAGGGCTCAGAGAAGCTACATATTTGCCTCAAGCCTCAGAATCAGAATTGGGACCCAGGTCTGCTGGCCCTTCCACTGTACTGCGCTGGGGCTGGGGGCTGGGGCTGGCACTTCTCGGCATCCTCCTCTTTCCTTCTAGAGGGAATGCAGCAGGGATCCTTAGATCAGCCAGTCCCATCCTTCAAGGTCCTGGTGGGTTTGAGCTACAGGGAGTTTGAGAGGGGTCAGCAGTAGTGAACTCCTGTTCCCTCCTCCCCATGCCTACCTTGGGCCCTCGTAACTGGAGTTCAGCCACGGGGACCCAGGGGTCACATTCTTCCCCATGCTTTTCCTCCTGAGCCTTGCCCAGCCTCCATCCCCCAGCTCCCTGTGTTCCACTAAGGCTCTCTGCCCTGGTGCCGCATGGCCTCTTGTCCTCTCCTCTCTGGTTCAGAGTGGGTCATTGTACTGGCCTTGAAGTCTAGCAGATCTGATTTTAATCCTAGCACCACCACGTACTAGCTATGAGACTTAGTTCCTAAACGTGTCAGTGTCCTCATCTGTCAAATGGGCATAAAGGCACCTGCCTCATAAGGCTGTGGTGGGGATTAAGTAAGGTAACAAATGCAAAGTATTTAGCAGAGTCCTGGCTCCTCACAGGTTCTTTGTAAACGGGAGCTCTGGCAGTGAGGATTACCATCTGGCCTGCTTTAGGCTTTGCTTGGGCCAACTCCGGATTTAGGACACATCCCTTCTTCAGCCTCCCTCTCTCATGTTTTGTTCCTAAGGGTGGTGGTTTAAGGCTGCCTCTTTTAGGAAGCCTTCTTGGGATTAACGCAGCTGATTCTTCCCAGTCACCATTCTTCCCCCTCACTTATTCTTTTCCTTTCCTTTTAGCACATGGTTGTTGAGTATCGTCCTGTGCTAGGCATTATGCTAAGCCCTCCTGGGGATACAGATACAGAAAAGACACTGGCCTTGCCCTTGGATCTTATAGGCAGGGGTAGGGAAGAGCAGGGTAGAGACAGGTATATTCACAAGTAACAATAATTCAAGGGAGATTGTGACACGGGATAAATTGAGTACAGAGGCAGGAGCCAAGAAATTGAGTGGAGAATCAGGGAACACTTTGGAGAGGAGGAAGCAGTGGGTCTGGTCTTGGAAGATAAGCTCTTGGTGGGTGGAGAAGACAGGGACAGTTCTTCTGACCTAAGGGAGCAGCATAAGAAAGGCCTGAAAGTGTGGAAGGCTGAGGGTGAGAAGGGCAGGGCTAGTTATGGGAGCCCTTGTGTCAGGTAAGGAGTTTGTGCTTCATCCTGTGGGTAATGAGGAGCCACTGACTGTTTTGGAGGAGAGAACTGATGTGACTTTACTTGTGGATTTAAAAAAAAAAAAGGAAATTATTCAAGACGTATGTATTCTTTTTAGAAAGATTAGAGAATTCCAGTAAGCAAACCAACCAACAAACAAAAAACCTGACTGCCATTTTAGGAAGAGAGGTTGTGGTAGTGTGAAGAGTGGATCGGATCAGAAAGTTCAGAGACTGGAGGCTGGAGACTGGGGACAAGTCCAGGCCAGAAAGGCAGAGGGTGGAAGTGAGGGAGGGAAAGGGGCAGGTGGAGCACTGTTGAGCGTCTCCAGGCTTTGGGGCCCATGGGCTGTGGGAGTAGGGAAGGGAGATACCAGTGGGGATTGGGGTCTGGCTGGTGGTGCAGGGGTCACTGGTAAAGGAAGGAGAAGCGAATGGAGGCGGTGACCATGGAGCCTGAGTTTTCCTAGGGTGAGTTGAGGCTCAGCAGAAGGGCTGGTGGATTCCCTTCACCCAAGCCCAGGGCATCTCTGGGCAGGAGAGCAGCCAGTGCAGATGTGGCCTCCCCTTGGGCACAGCCCTGTCTCCCTAGGCCTGACTGACCCCCTGTCTCCTCCAGGAGCGCCTGGCAGTCCTGGACAGTCAGGCTGGGCAGATCCGGGCCCAGGCCGTGCAAGACTCAGAGTGCCTGGCCCGGGACAAGAACGCTGCCCTGCAGCTGCTACAGAAGGTAGCCCGTTTCAGACTGGGCTGGGGACTCAGGGTGGGGGAAGGTGTGGCGGAGTGGGAAGTAGGTGCAGAAAGGCTGTGGGGATTGGCCAGCCACGGAGGGACCCCCTTCACATGGTCTCCTTCCTCCCCCTCTTATGTGACTCTTGCTGCTCTGGGCTTGCAGGAGAAGGAGAAACTGGCTACACTGGAAAGACGATACCACTCTCTCACAGGTGGAAGGCCTTTCCCGAAGACCACCTCGACCCTCAAAGAGGTAACGTGCTCGGGTCAGCCCCAGCTCCAGGCCCCAGGGGTGTCCTGGGGGGCTCCAGCTGTGTGGAAGTATGGGAGCATCTTCCTGACCTGGAGAGATTTGAGTAGGAGTGGCCTGAGTTCTGGGATTTGACCTTCTGGTTCCCGCTGCTTCTTTTCACTTGGCTTTTTGGCTCCCAGAAGCCCACTGATTTACTATTTTGGGTGGTTGAATATATCTGGGGAGCTCGAGGGACGTGTACATGGTGGTGTCAAGCTTGGAGGTTTGTTACAGACCCGGGCTGGGCAGACTCACCTTGAGGGGAGCATAAGGATCTAGGGGTGCTGATCCTGGGGCACCCTGGGCTTCAGTCTGGAGCCAGTCTTGGGGCTCAGAAATGGGCACTGAGATCCCTTCAGCCGTTCTTCCCCAGTCTTTGCATGCCTGGTGTCTGAGGACCTGTCTCCTTCCTCTCTGCTTCACTGCACAAGACGTTTGGGCCTGGGGTGGGGTGGCTGGACTGAGCGTGAGGGCTGTGGCCCCTCATCAGATACCCTCTCTGTAGGCTGAACTGCTCATCTCCGAGTCCTCAGAGGTGGGGCAGGGGACTGAGGCTCTGGGCCTGTACCCAGGGTTGTCTCAGGCTGGGGCCTCCTCCGTCCCCTTAACCCCACCTGCTTCCACTCAGCTCTGCCCCAAAGCACAAGAGGTAATCACAGCTAACTGCGTGTTCTGCTGGGCCCACTGCCTGCCTGCCTGCCTGCCTGCCTGCCTGCCTGCCTGCCTGCCTACCTACCTGCTGAGCTCCTGCCTACAGCTCCACCCCAGGGCCCAGCTGAGGGGTGCGGCAATAATCCTTTAGCTGGCCAGGGCTGGGGAGAGTTCCTGCACTGATCTGCCATTATATAGAGTGCCTGGGCAGCCCCTGCAAAATCAGTGTGTCGATTTGCAAATTAATTTGCATGTGTTCTGCATGGCGTTCATTGATTCTCACAACACACTGGACCCTCCTGCTCATTTTCATTACGGTGGCCCCTAGAGTATAGTTGGCCTCTGGATTTGGGCCTGGAGGGGCTCCCCCTGCATAAGGCAGACAAGATACTGTACTTGGATTCAGCACGAGTTTGGAGTGCCTCCCGTGTCCCCAACACCTAGATGAGCTCAGGGTTCTAAGGATGTGTGATGAATATGACAGTCCCTGTCCTTCCAACCCACATTCTAATGGGAGTTTGTATTGGCATCTTTCCAAGTCCCATCTTCGGCACTGGGCCCTGCTAAGGCCCCTTGCCTAGGCCCTATGGGTGAGGTACAAGGGGACCGTCAGGAATGGTGTGACTGGTGCTTGATGCTTCCTGTGTGCACCCCATGCCCCGGGTTCCCAGAAGCTCGTTCTGACCCTCAGTGGGCTCTTGGGAGGCCTTCCTTACTTAGGCTTCTTTGCCTGCCCCCAGCCTGGGCAAACCCAGTAATGGGCTGTCACGACTGCTGGGCAGGGACTGGTGCCAAGGCTGCCCCAGAAGTGGCGGTCAGGAGGAGCCTTCTGACAGTCAGTCCTGCTCTTCTTTTTTTGCTGAGCTCCCCACTCTGCTCTGGGTTTGTATTGATGAAGAGTGACAGCCATGTAGCCTGGCCTGGCATGGAGTGTTGGGTGTCGGGCACCTGGTTGAGCCCCATTAACCTCTTCTCTGCCCACCCCTGACCCCGGGAACCCTAGGAGTATGTGAGCCTGGCAGAGGTTCTCCAGCTGTGCGCCTGCTTGGACCCCTCTGCTTCTGCCACCTCCCCCCTGCCTGACAGCGAGGTACCAGCCACTGAGTGCCCACTCATGCCCAAGGGCCTCCTGTGGATGCCCTAGATGCCCCTCAGGTCGGGGTGGGAGGAGCAACAGGCTTACGTTCAGCAGTGAGGGAGAAGGGCCGCTGGCATAGAATGTTGTGGGTGGTTCCCTCTGCTCTTCCCAGGGCCTCTGAGCTCTTGTCAGCCCCTGATGGCTCAGGGAGGGGCAGGTCCTCTGCCCAAGTGGGAGGGCAGCATGCCCAGAGGTCTCTGGCACTCTGGCCTCTGCAGGCTGCCTCTGCCCTGCACTGCACACCTGTTCCCTTCTCGCCTGTGAGCAGCGCCGTCTCTTGGGTACCAGTCCATTAACCTCTTGTATTCCCTCCTGCACCCGGCCTTCCCCCAAGTACGTGACGCTTGAGCAGCTAAAGGTGATGTGGGGCTCCTCACCCATGGCCCCCTCCCCTGCGCCAGGCCTGCCTCTCTGGGCCTCTGCCTCCTGGGACCTGGGTCCCACCACCTGCCTTCCTCCTGGGCTGCCCTCCTCCTCCTCTGCTTCCATCACGCCTTTCCCCAAGGTTGGTGGTCCACACATTCCTGCTACCCCTGGCCCACTAGTTGTGTTTGTCTGTCTGTGTGTGTCTGCCCTGCTCATTGGCTCCTCAGCTCAAGGCCAGCCCAGGGGGGTGCCCAGTGCCTGTGGGCCTGGCTGGCTGGCTGCCTCGTCGCTGGCATGGCACATGGTGTGGTCTGAGCTGTGTGCTGACTCTTCCTCTTTGCCCGTAGAGCACACTCACGGCAACTGTTTTCTCACCAGTTTTTTCTTCCTTCTCTTTATGCTCTCCTTCCCTCCCTCCCTCGCTCCCTTCCTTCCCTTCTTCCCTCACTTTCCTGTCTACTTCCCCTTCCTTCCTCCTCCCTTTTCCTTTCCCCTCACTTCCTTACCTTTTCTCTCCATCCTCCTTCCTGTCCTGCCCCCCATTCCCCCTCCAGATGGAGAAGCTGCTGCTCCCTGCTGTAGACTTAGAGCAGTGGTACCAGGAGCTGATGGCTGGGCTGGGGACCAACCCCGCTGCCGCCTCCCCTCACTCTTCCCCCCCACCTCTGCCTGCCAAAGCCTCCCGTCAGCTGCAGGTAACCCCCTCTGGCACTGCCCACCCTCTCTGGCCTTGCTTCTTTCTGCTGTGAACACCTCCTGCTGCTCCATCAGCCACATGCCTTAGGCTGGGGGTCAGCCCCGTCAAGGCAGCGAGGGGGTCCCTGGACCCTGAGGAGGGCAGTGAGGGTCTCCCCACAGGCAGCCATCTGGCACTTTTGGCAGTCAGAGCCACCCTCCTGAGTCCAGTGGAAGGGGATTCTGGACCAGCAGTCAGGTTGGGATCTGTTTGGTGCCCTGTGCTGGGCCAGGCCAGGTGGACTCCCTGACTATGGGCCTGCTCTATCCCTGGCAGCCCCCACTCTAGAACTTCTCACTCAATCTGAGGACCTGACACACTCTTGGACCTGACACAACTGGAGTGCCAGCCTTTTGCTGTCCTGGTCTTCTCAGGGATGACATATGGAGGCAGGACAGAGGGGGACAAAGACCCTGAAGTGAGAGCCCTGGGGACGTGCCCAAGAGCTGCCACAAAGGGCATGGACCTGCCTGACAGTGGGGGGCTATGTGTATTTAGACAGTCTTCCCCCCAAATTTCACTCGCCTGACCTGCTGTAGTGCTTAAGGTCCCTCCACTCAGGATTCTCTCTTTCGAGTGAGGACATTTCATCTCCCCCTGTGGGAGGAGTTTGGTCCATAACGTGTGTGGTGCCTCTCCTTTGTACTTGGCTAGTTAGAGACTTCCACGTGTTCTGATTCATCTATTTGTCACCACAGATCAACATTGGGGCCCAGAGAAGATACAAGATCTCCCCAAGGCCACATAGCTGGGAAGTAGCAGAGCCTATGCCGAAAGCTAGATGTTTCTGACCCTAAAGACCTTATTCAGTGAACATTAGTGCTGCAAGGGAACTAGGCAGTTAGTTATTCAGTCCAGCCCTACCCCCTCCTTTTGCAGATAAGGAAGCTGAGGCCCAGAGCAGGGAGGTACGTAGTTCCGGGTCACATAGCCATCAGTGGCAGAGCTGGGGCTAGAAGGAAGCCAGGCCTCCAGCTGGTCCCCTGCACCACTCTGCCTGACCGACAGTAACTCCTTGGCATGGGTTGGTTTACAAAGTCCTTTCTAAGACCCAGGGTTGGGCCAGGGATTGGCCCTGGGAGGAGGAGCATGGGAAGGAGCCCTGACAGCTGCCAATAGTATCTGCCCATTGGGCTGGCACAGGAGACTCAACACGGTTGTCAGCTAGAGACAGCTGCAAAGGCCTGGTGCCAGGGTGGCACCTCAGATCACAGCTGGCCTAGGTGATATGGGGGTGGTGGCCAGTGCGGGAGCTAGGGTTCACTGGGCAGTATCTTTTCCCTCCAGGTGTACCGCTCCAAGATGGATGGCGAGGCCACCAGCCCCTTGCCCCGGACTCGAAGCGGCCCCCTTCCCTCCTCCTCTGGCTCCTCCTCCTCCTCCCAGCTCAGCGTGGCTACCCTGGGCCGTAGCCCATCCCCAAAGGTCTGAGGACAGTGGTGGGTGGAGAGTGCCTGGTGTACTGCCACCTGGGGAGAGGCCAAGGCCACCCATGGAAGCTTTGGGGGAGGGGGCCCCCCGAACCTCAGGTCCCAACTTGCCACTCCCTCTGCAGAGTTCTCTACTCACCCAGAATGGCACCGGCAGCCTTCCTCGCAACCTGGCAGCCACGCTGCAGGACATCGAGACCAAGCGCCAGCTAGTTCTGCAGCAGAAGGGTGAGTGACTGCAAAGCCAGTCCACCTGCTTTCCTGGGGGACCCTGGATGCTTTGCTACACACACCCCCCATGTCTCATCCATGCCCACACTGTTACAGGATATTCTTTCCTGAATTGGGATCTAGGCAAGAGCAGAAAAGATTTAGATTGAAAATAAAAAACCAAACCCATTGCCGCTGAGTTGATTCTGACTCATAGCGACCCTGTAGGTCAGAGTAGAACTGCCCCATAGAGTTTCCAAGGAGTGGCTGGTGGATTTGAACTGCTGACCTTTTGGTGAGCAGCAGAGCTCTTAACTACTGTGCCATCAGGGCTCCTCTTACCTAAATTTCCTGGAAGTTTATCAAAAGACTCCAGGGCAGGGGACTAAGGGAGTCAGGGCTGTGGCATCTTGTTTCCTAGAAAGCCCAGCAAATAAGGGCAATGCTTACTGACCTGAGTAGGGTTAGATATTACCCTGTCTAGAGGCAGGGGGATGGACTTGATGACCTCCAGAAATGGTTCCCAAAGATATTGGCTCTGGGGATCCAGGAGTCTTTGTTACTTGTCATCCCCCACTACCCCAAACAAACACAGACCTGCCATGTAGCTGTTCTGGTTGTTTTGAAAGTCCATGTCTGTGCCTCTCTCTCCTGTCATCCCCTCTGTGTCTCTCTACCCTACCCTCTGCCCGGGGCCCCCCACACCAGTCGAGTTGCTTCCTGCCGAGCCCCTCCCAACTGACGACCCAGCAGGTAGAACGTTGGTCACTGAGGGCATTGCTTTGGCCAGGCAGGCTTGCCCAGGCTTCAGCATGGTGTCACCTGTCCAAGTCCCCACTGCCTGAGCCAGGTTGGGGTGTCGGCTGGCCTCACCCCCTCGAGCTGAGCTTTCTCCTGCCCTCCACTCCACCTCGTCTTCCCTTCCTTCTTTCCTGCTGTTGTTACTCTTGCTTCTGCATTGCAGCTGGGGTCTGCATTTGACACCTCTGGGTGCTCATGGGGCTTCTGCCATTTCTTCCTTCTCCCTTCGCCAGCAGGCAGGGTGGGTGCGTGTGTCCTGCCCACCTGTTCAGGTCTCGGTTGTGAGCTGGAGCCGCCTGGCCGTCATGCTGCCAGGCCACCACCAGGGCAGGCTCGGTGCCCTGTGTGGGCTCGGGGTGCAGAAAGAGCATTGACGCCAGACTGTGGGGCTGTGGCCAGTTGTGCAGGCAACTGAAGCATTGGCAGGCAGCGGGACCTGGAGCTGTGGGGGCTTCAGGGAAGCTGACGGGCATGGGGTAGCCCTGTGTTAACCTCTCCTGCTCGCCTCCTCCCTGTGTCTGTGATGCTGCCAGTGTCCTCCCAGGTGGGTGGTGTGCCCACCGTAACCCCCCCATTCCCCCTGCAGGGCAGCAGGTGATTGAGGAGCAGCGGCGGCGACTGGCGGAGCTGAAACAGAAGGCAGCAGCCGAGGCTCAGTGCCAGTGGGACGCCCTGCATGGGGCAGGCCCCTTCCCCCCGGGCTCCTCGGGTTTCCCCCCACTTGTGCACCACTCCATCCTGCACCACCTGCCAGCTGGGCGGGAGCGTGGAGATGAGGGGGAGCACGCCTACGATACACTGAGCCTGGAGAGCTCAGACAGCATGGAGACCAGCATCTCCACCGGGGGCAACTCGGCCTGCTCCCCCGACAACATGTCCAGGTACCTAAGCACCCTCCCTGCCCAGGGGTGTCAGCTCTGCCTTCCCTCACACCACTGTAGCCCACGTGGGCCCACCACTCCTGCCAAGTGCCTCCTCAACTCCCTGTCCCTCCCCCAGTGCAAGTGGTCTGGATATGGGGAAGATCGAGGAGATGGAGAAGATGCTGAAAGAGGCTCACGCGGAGAAGAGCCGGCTCATGGAGTCGAGGGTGAGGCGGATCCGGGCCAGAGAGGCAGGAGGCGGTGGGAGCCCCAGAGTCGCCCTTGGTCTGCCAAGGGCCTGTGCTCCATCCCAAACCCCTTCACGCACGTTATCCTCACAACATTCCCTTGAGGCAGAAACATTTTTTAAAGTTTGTAGTCTTCAAATGGGGATATGGGGGTGTGGTAAGATTGGCAGGTGTCACAGCTCTTAGGAAGCACAGTAACCATTCCAGCCATGATTTCCTTTATGAGAAACTCCTTGTCCGTTCCCTTCTGTGGACTCGTTGATGACCATGGGAATTTTGATTCCTTACATCTGCATGGCAAGGTCCCTGGGTGGTGCAAACAGTTTGTGCTCAACTACTAACCTAAAGGTTGGCAGTTCGAATCTATCCAGCAGTGCTACCGAAGAAAGGCCTGGTGATCTACTTCCAAAAGGTCACAGCCAAGAAAACCCTATGGAGCACAGTTTTACTCTGTAACATGTGGGGTCACCATGAGTCAGAATTGGCTCGACGGCAACAGGTTTTTGGTTTTACCTGCGTGGATGGTTAAGCCAAGTAAGAACTGGGGGGTTGCAGTGTAGGAAAGGAAGAGGAAGCAGATATCGAAGCCAGAGCAGAGGTGTTAGCTGGGAAGCCTCGGGGAGTGGAAGGGCCTGAGGAAGTCACATCTCCTTCATGTGGGCATGGAGCTGGGACACAGGAAAGAGGGACCAGTACCTGGGAAGGAGGCTAAATAAAGGATGTTCAGAAGCTCTTCCATTCCACCCTCCATGGCCCTCTGTACCCCTTGAGACTAGAGTGAGACCCAGGCAGTAGGAGTCTGCAGTCAGAGGGATTAAAAAATAAAAGGTGCTGACTGTTTGGGTAGAGGACCAGGCAGAAGGGAATGCCTCTTAGTTTTCTTTACATCAAAGTAGGGCACATTTGCAGGCATTGGTTGGCAAATAGAGGGAAAGTAGATTCTGTGAAGTTTTGAGCTGGAGAAGGCAAATAGAAATTAATGGAATGGAGGGAGTTATCACTGATAAAGATGTGTAAAGCATCATTGACATGCTCTGTATTTCATGGTTTGCTTTGATGACTTTTAAAACCCTGTTATAAGGAGCCCTGGTGGTGCAATGGTTAAGGGGTTGGCTGCTAATCGAAAGGTTGGTGGTTCAAACCCACCCAGCAGCTCCGCAGGAGAAAGATCTGCTCTTGTAAAGATTACAGCCTAGAAAACCCTATGGGGCAGTTCTACTCCTGTCAGATGGGGTCCCTATGAATCAAAATCGACTGGATGGCACCTACCAACACCCTTTTACAATGGCTTTCATAATTTCAGTTGTGACTTTAGTCTCCAAACATTATTTTTTTAATTGTGGTTTAGGTGAAAGTTTACAGTGCAAATTAGTTTCTCATTAAGCAGTTAATACACATATTGTTTTGTGATATTGGTTGCAAACCCTGCAATATGTCGGCGCTCTCCTCTTCTCCACCCCAGGTTCCCTGTTTCCATTTGATCAGTTTTCCTGTCCCTTCCTGCCTTCTTGTCTTTGCTTTTGGGCTGGTGTGCCCATTAGTCTTGTATACATGATTGAACTATGAAGCCCATCCCTCACGTGTGTTATTCTTAGTCCTATAGACCTGTCTAATCTGACTGAAGGTTGAACCTCAGGAGTAACTTCAGTACTGAGTTAAAAGGGTGTCTAGGGGTATACTCATGGGATTTCTCCAGTCTCTGTCAGACCAGCAAGCCTGTTTTGTTCTGTTTTTTTTTCCTGCGTGTGTGTGAATTTGAATTTTGTTCTACATTTTTCTCCCGCTCTGTCTAGGACCCTCTGTTATGATCCCCGCCAGAGCAGTCAGTGGTGGTAACTGGGCACCATCTAGTTGTTCTGGGCTCAGTCTGGTGGAGGTCCAACCATATTTTTTTCCTATAAAATTTGAAGTTCAACTATAAATGTTTCTAAATTGGAGTTTCAAAGGGCCTCGACTTAGTGATTGGGGAGGGGCAGTAGCATCACTAAGAGGGTGTGGGGGGTGCAGACTGCACCAGGTGACACTGTCAGAGGGGATGACACCAAAATGACTGTCTGTAAAATTTCTGTGCAGTGTTTCAGCAGAAATTTATTATTTTTTATAAAAATATCCCTGCAGTTATAACAACAAAAAATTTTTTTTGCAAACCCAGCTTACAAGTAGCAATATACCTACAAGGCTAAAACTCTATGCTAATTTAGTTTTTGAACCTTTTAATGTACTCCAGTCAGAGCTGTCATTATTACCCAATTACAATGACACTTCGAATCATGTGGTTTCATCTGTAGGCGCCACAAGCACGCACTGTTGTTTTTGTTGCTGCCAGTGTTTTTATAGTTGCAGATTTGTGTCAAATTTTCCAGTGTTTCAGCTACAATTTTGTAATAATTATCATGGGGGGTTGACACCATGAATTACCACACTGGGTGACACCAACCCTAGTGATGCCACTGGGGAAGGGCTACTGAATACGTTAGCCGTCAGAAAAAGTTGTTTAGATAGTCCACATTCTGAGAATTCTGGTAAAAATTATGTAAGTCCCATTTATTGATTGAGTGCTTCCTTCCTACCGGCATCAGTGATGGATATGTACAGACATGATCTCCTTTAATTTTCACTACAATTTTAGCCTCATTTTACAGGTGAGGAAGCTGAGGCTTAGAGCATTTAGGTGATTTTGTCAGGGTCACAGAGCTTGTGGTGGTGGCAGAGCCAGGGTTTGAAGCCAGGGCAGAGATCATTTACCCTCAGCCAGCAGGGCCTTTGGGGAGGTGGGCGTTGGGGATGACACCTCCTCGTGCCAGGAGACCCTCTCAGATGGCTCTGCCCTGGTCCTGAGGAGGGTCAGTTGGGGAGAAGCGGGCAGATGTGGACACTGACCCCCCGCGTGGGTGGCAGGAGCGGGAGATGGAGCTGCGGAGGCAGGCCCTGGAGGAGGAACGGCACAGGCGCGAGCAGGTGGAGCGGAGGCTGCAGAGCGAGAGCGCCCGGAGGCAGCAGCTGGTGGAGAAGGAGGTCAAGATGCGAGAGAAACAGTTCTCCCAGGTGAGTGGGTGGGAGGGGTACAGTGCGTGGCTACCTGGAGAATGGGGGCTGTGGAGGGGTAGGAATATCCCAGGGTACTTCTGCTGGGCTGGAAAACTTGTTCTATTCCAGAAAAGATTGCTGTTGTCTTAGCACAAGCAGATTTCTGCCTGGGACTCCTTTGGCCCCAAGGAACAAAGGCCAACTTGAGCTTGTTCAAGCCAGTATCTGTGTGTGAGATGGGGCGGGGGGAGCATGTTGTGAGGATGTGGCAGGCCTTGCAGACATCCGGGGTCAGAGAAGAAGAAGGTATGGCCAGGCCTCCCAGAGATGGGAGCTGGAGAGTCAAGAAGTCAGGGTGGCTCCCCTTGGCCTCTCTCAAGGACCTCAAGTCCCCTGATCTCTGCTTCGTGAATCTGCTTGGCACCCTCCCAGCCCTTCCCCTGGGCCTCTCCTGCAGTCCTTGGTGCTGTCCTGACCCTCAGCCCACAGGACCACCGTCAGTTGATGGTCTCACTTTGACTTTTGGTTTACATCTCCGAGAGAGCGTTGCATTAGTTTTTCCTTGGAACAGAAATCCATCCTTACACAAAATCCAGCACTGGGCCTTTCCTTATCCAGGAGTCCTGCCTGAGCAGAACAGGGGAAGCTAGGAGGAGAACTTGAGCTGGGCGGGGGAATCTGCCCCTGTGTCTGATCCCAGTTCCTGGCCCCGTGAGAGCCTGTAAGACTCAGAGAAGTTGTCTCTTTATAGGCCTCCCCAGGGTGGGGGTCCTGTGGGATCTGCCCACAGCAGCTCCTGATTTCCCACAATGCAGCAGCACACATTTTAAGGGACAGGCTGCGTGGTTTGACTTTGGGAATCAAGGAATAAATGGAAACTGTGAGTTTTACTTCTGTGGTTGTAATCTTTGTCAAATGCCAAGTCTCCCTTTCCTGCCTCAGCCAGTGGCTGCTTTGGGACTCTGTCCTCTAGCCTCCTGTCCTGAGGCTCAGGCATTGCTGGAAGAGCCACCAGAATCTGGTGTGGGAGGTGGGGGGAGTCTGTCCATCTTTGGAGCACCTCCTGGAAGGTATACATTTTGTTTTTTCTTTAAACAGCTTGTGATCTGTTTCCTTTTCTTCCCATTTTAATGTTCCTTCTAGGAAGGAATGGTAGAAAATAAATTTAGTTGACTGAGAATTTTAGCTAGTGTCAGAATTTTCTAGATGGAATAGGCCTTAGTGATTATCTAGTTCAAATCCCTTGTTTTATGTGTAAGGAAACTGAGGTTCAAACAGGGGAGGTGACCCAAAATTTCACAGAAGTCAGAGATCAAATTTCTTATTGGGCTCTTCTATCCAGAACGTTCTGGCCTTCTGTTTTATTCTGTTCAGCCCAGGAGGAAGAGGAAGGGAAGGGATAAGTCAAGGATGCCTGTGTCTTGGTCATAGGTGGGGACACTGAGGCACAGACTCACAGAGCAGAGATGAGGGGACTGTATGGCCATTGAGAAATGCCAAGGGGAGCTGCCCTGATTTTTACTCTCCATCTCTGATTAAGTAGTTGGCCTAGGGGCAGGCAGTCCCACAAGCACACTAGGTCTCTATCTTTGCTACAAGCCCTGTGAAGCCATGGGGCTAGGGAGGGGATGAGTTCAGGCTGTTGGGGGTTCAGGACTGAAACCAAGGGGCCTAGACTGAGAAACAAGGGGGAAAGAAAGACCCTCCTGACCCTGCCCTCTGACTCCCAGGCACGGCCCCTGACCCGCTACTTGCCAATTCGGAAGGAGGACTTTGACCTAAAGACCCACATCGAGTCGTCAGGCCATGGTGTGGATACCTGCCTGCACGTGGTGCTCAGTAGCAAGGTACAGGGCGTGCTGGCCCCGGGGTGGGGGAGAGGGCCCCGCGGTCAGAGGCACCTACTGCGCCCTCGGAATGGTGGCCCCAGCACCTGCCCCAACACCAGAAGTCTGTGTAGGTCCTGGGGTTCTGGCCTGAGGAGGTATTGGGGATATCCCTGTGGATGCAGGGCACAGGTTGGGGAAGAAAGGCTTTAAGGCTGTGCATTTGGGTTCTTCCTTACTCTTGCTACCCACCAGGTCTGCCGTGGCTACTTGGTCAAGATGGGGGGCAAGATTAAGTCATGGAAGAAGCGCTGGTTTGTCTTCGACCGGATCAAGCGCACCCTTTCCTATTATGTGGGTGAGTTTCCATGAGACCATCCTGGGGGCCAGCCGGAGCTGGGACTCCTGGGCTCTGTCACCTAGGACAGCTGGTGGCTGTCCCCTGTGGCTCTGGAAGGAGGCCAGGCTTCCAAGCTGGGGGCTAGGGGCTCTGGCTGGGCCTTGCCCTCCCCTCCCTGTAAAGTGTGCAGAGTGTACCTGGTTCACTTCCATTTATTTCTTCCTCATTTATTCATTCAGCAGTATCCTTGAGCATCTGGTAAGTGCCAGGAGTTGTTCTAGGCTCTGGTGGTAAGCAAGAGGGCCACAGCTCTGTCCCTTGGAGCTTAATAGTCAGGGAGGCAGACACTGGACAAAGAGTCAAAACAAAGCACTATGAATGTGCTAGTAGGAGACACCCAGGCACTGTGGTTCATGGTGTCCTCCGAGTCCAGGTTGGGCTGGGGACTCTCTCCCTTGGGGAAGTTTCCTCAAAGACTCCAAGACATGCAGTTCAGCAGCATGAGGCAGTGATCAGGACAGCACTGGGAATGTGCAGACTGGCCTAGCCTCTCCCTCAGCTCTCTCCACTCTCACCTCCAGCTTAGTTGTCCATCCCAGAAATTCCTGTGTACTTTCCCACTTGCAGCATGGGATTCTGTCTCATCCTGTAGTCAGGAAAGGCTGGGTGTGGTATAGTAGCAACCATTCCTAAAGCCCCAGTGGCTTAAAACCACAAAGTTTTCTTTCTTACCCCTGGTACATGTCCACTGTGGGCTAGTGGGGACTCATGCCCCATCAGCGTTGTCTTTGCTTCATTGCGCATGTTTTTGGAACACTGCTGGTGGCAGCTGCAGACAGAAGAGAGAGGTGGGTCTTGCATTAGCATTAAATGCCCCAGCCGGAAAGTGACACGCATCACAACCATCCACAACTTGCTGGTGGGACTGTTCAGCCCCACCCAGCCCAAAGCCAGAAAGTGCAACCCTATTAGGTGCCTAGAAGGGAGGAAAGAGCGGGAGCGTTTGGTGCCAGATGCCCAGGCCTGGGATGCTGTGCTTCGACCTCTAACCTGGCCCCTAATCAAGTTCCACCCCCTCCAAGAAGCCTTCCCTGACCACCCTGGGCGTAAGGAGGCAGGATTAGCAGGGACTGGGAGGGCGGAGGGACTTTGACAGGGGGTAGAGAAGCAGGCCTGGGGAGAAGAATTGCATTTTAGACATGTTGAGGTTGAGGTGACTCTGGTCAGGGTTAGGGGCAAAGTAACAGTAGAATCTGTTGGAACGATAACAGTAATAGTAGCAGATCATAGTTACTGAACACTGTGTGAGCCAGACACCGTGCTAAGCACTCTGCATGTATCATCTCTTTTAACCTTCATAATAACCCTGTGAAGGAATCACTATTTTTACCCCCATTTTACAGATGAGGAAAACGAGGCTCAGAGTGGTTAAGTAAAGTGCCCAAGGTCTCACAGCTCCGAAGAGGCAGAGCCCAGAGTGAACCTGAGCAGTCAGACTCAGAGCAGAGAAGAGGGGGAGAGAGGTCACACCCTGGGTCAGGCCTGCCCTTGTAGAGAAGGATGGGGAGAAGAGTGAAGGAGCCGGATGCAGGAAGCCGGCACTAAGACTGACCAGGTGCCAGGTGCTGGGCTGGCGCTGGGCATACGTGGCCTTGCTTTGTGGAACAAAGGAGACCAGGCTCAGACATGGGGTGGAAACAGGGAAGTAAGCCGGCCAAGGCAGCAGACATTTGTAAGCAGGCAGTGTCACAGCCATGGTGGATGCTGCAGAAAGGCCAAGAATGATGTGAATCCAAAAGGCCATTAGTTCAATTCAGACATGAGCTTGTTGAGAGAAGGATTTCCACTGTGCTCAGGGGCGGGCGCCAGATTGCACAAGACCGAGGACAGGTGGGTGGTGAGGAAGTGGGGGCAGGAGCATGTTACTATTTCCAGTGAAGGAAGGAGTGGGAGAGAAGGGCTGCAGGGGTAGCCACGCCCAAAGGAGGACTGAGGATACAGAATGCCTGTGTTGGGTGGGGTGGGACTGGTCCCTGTCCTATAGGGGAGATGTTGGGGATGGCCCTGTGGCTGGTTCAGGGCCCTGGCTGTGCCTTACCTCTTCCTGCCTTGAACCTGCCCCCTGCCTTGCTGGACCCGCCTCCTGCCTGCAGGGTCCTGGTCAGATCCCATCTCACCAGGAGGGGTTCCCACCCTCACTGCACTCCTGCCTTACGTGGGGTCCATTCCGCCATGTGACATCAGCCCACAGCAGAGTGATGTAATGAACAATGCCCCAAGCTGTGTGCCAGGCACCGTGCTGAATACTTTGAATGTGTTCTGTCTTCTCATCTTCATGATGATCTATGGCTCGGAGGTGCTAATGGAGCTTCCTAGCCACATCCAAGGCCACACTGCTAGTGATGGCAGATCTGAGCCCTGGGCTGCCTGTCTGCGCTTTCTTCCCCACTAGATTGTAGGTTCCTAGGAGAAGGGTCTTGGGCTTATCTCCGAATCCCAATGCGTAGGACTGATTCGTTCAACATTGAGCACCCACTGTGTGCCAGGCATAGGGGTGTCAGTGTGGGGGAGGTAGACCAACAAGTGAGTAAAGGAGTTCTATGAAGGGGAGCTTCATGCTGTGGGAGCACCAGAGAGCATAGCCGTTCACAGTGATAACATTTGCAATGGGTCCTGAAGATCACCTACGAGTTTGCCAAGGAAATGGGCTAGAGGAGACCATCTAACAGATGCTGAGCATGTTGTCAAGAGAAGCTCAGCCTGGCAAGATAGAACATAGGGTTGATGCTGGGGAGGGGGAGGGGAGTGAGCCCAGCAGGAGGGCAGTGTTGGCACCAGTCTGTAAGTGGCCTTTGTCAAGCCAAGAGTGCAGCTGGTTCCCCAGTGAGGGACCAGCAGAGCAGTTTGTAGCTGGGAAATAGCAGCATCAGACTTGCTTTAGGAAGCTAACCCCTCAGCATTATGGAGGGTGGGCTGAAGGGCAGAGGGTGGGGCAGGGGCACATTTGGAGGCCCTAGCAGTGATCCAGGGGAGCAATGATGCAGGCTGAGATAACACGGGGAGGGCAGAGGAGGAGCACACAGGGAGGAGCACACTTCTAGTCTTCAGACCTGAGCAGTGATTCCTGAGACCTTTTCTTGAACACCGTGGCCCACTGTGAAGGCCGTCACAGGCGTGCACTGAGCAATGTTTCCACAGACAACAAGGCCCTGACCTCCTTCCATGGTGCTCCTGCCCTCCGCCCCTGAACTGTCACCTCCAGTTCTGCTGGTTTGCTCACCTCCCCCCTCCACTCCTGCCCTCCAGACACTACATGCTGCCTTTCCTTTTTAAATATTAGGGTGATAGGTAAATGCATTCATCTGGCTCAGAAATCACAGCATAATGGAAGATTTACATTGAGAATTATGCCAACACCTGTCATGTAACCACTTGCATTAATCTCTTGTATATCATTTTGGAGTTTCTTCAGGAGAATCTAAGCAAATGCAAACACCTATTCCTGCATTCCCCTTTTTCTTACGTAAAAGGTAGCATGCGCTACATTTCCTTGCTTTCTCCTTATATGTCTTAGAGATTTTTCTACATCAGATATACCTATATCTAGATATTTCTATTCGGAGGTACTTTTATAGGTATATTTCTGTGTGCTATCTATATCACATATTTCTTTATCATTCTATGTGTCTGTCATATGGTATACTGTAATTTATTAACTGATCTCCTGGTGATGGACTCATGGCTTGTGTCCAACCTTTTGTGGCTACAAACAGCACTGCAGTGGATAATCTTGTAAATGTGTACATGTTAAGATAAATTCTCAGAAGTGCAGTCATTGAGTTAAAGGGTAAATGCCTGTCTAATTCTGATAGACATGGTCAAGTTCTCCATAGAGTTTTGCCTGTTTATATTCCTACTCGTCACTCACTGGACCGCCTGTGTCTCCACAGACTTGCCAGCGTGTGCTGTCAGGCTGTTACATTTGTGCCATTCTGACAGTGGTGTCTCAGTGTGGTTCTAATCTGCATTTCTCTGTGATTATGAGTGACGCTCACCATTATCTGGATATTTAGGGCTGTGTGATGGGCAGTGTCTTGGAGTCCTGGGAGGCTGGGATCATCACCCCATTTCCCAGACAGGGAAACTGAGGCCCATGGGAACTGTCAGTGGTGGGGCTTGGCCTGAGACGCAGCAGACCTCCTCAGCCTCACCCTTCTTTCCTTTACAGACAAGCATGAGACGAAGCTAAAGGGGGTCATCTACTTCCAGGCCATTGAAGAGGTGTACTATGACCACCTTCGAAGTGCAGCCAAGGTCAGTGGTGGAGGGCACCAGAGGGGCAGAGGGACCATCACTGGAAAGGGTGGGCCCAGCTGGCTCTGGGAGCAAAGGCCTGCAGTCTTTCCTCTCCAGAGGCTCTGACCCATTCCCCCATCCTCTTTTAAACTTTCTCTTCCTTTCTCCCTCTCCCCTCTCCAGAAAAGTTTTTTCAGCTTCACTATGGTGACTGAGGTACCCCCTATACCTATAACTACTGCACATTAACGCTTCCTTTGCCCCAGCAGCCTCTGACCCTTGACTTTCCCCTCAACACCCCCCTCCCCCACCCAGGCCTGAAGGAGGTAGGAGGTGGGAGGTGGGCTGGGGAGAGCAGAAAGCCAAAGCCCTCCGGCCTGAGCACCGCTTGCTCCCTCTCTCTTGGGAGATGACAGCAGGTGGGTTTGGGGGTGCAGGGGTCCTCAGAGACTAGATTTGACAGGGTGGAAGAGATAAATAGGAGACTGAGAAGTCAGCCTCCATCCCACCCACCCCCTGATGCCCACCCCAGCCCTAATCTCTGCTCCTCTGGGGACCTGGGGCACAGCAACCCTCTCGTGGCTTTTCTCTTCTGCCCCTTCTTTTTTGCCAAGAGGAGACTCTGGTCCTCACTGGCACAGCCCTTTGGGTCTGGTTCTCTTGGTATTCACTTTTAGCCTGGGGGTGCTGAGGAGCAGTGTGGCCACTTGGGGGCGGGGTGTGGTCCTGACCAGGCCCTGACAGGGTCCAAAGAGGCTGGGAGATCCCGGGACAACCTGGGAACATCCCAGCCTAGGGCCCGTGTGGGCTGGTGGGGTCTCAGCCTGAGCCCCAGGGCTTCCTGTGAGCAAGGACGGGCAGGGGCAAACAGGGAGGTGTCTAGGGGTAGCCCTCTCAGACCTTCATCTCTCCCCTTGGCAGAGCCCAAACCCAGCCCTCACCTTCTGCGTGAAGACCCATGACCGGCTATACTACATGGTGGCCCCGTCTGCAGAAGCCATGCGCATCTGGATGGATGTCATTGTCACTGGGGCTGAGGGCTACACTCAGTTCATGAACTGACCACTGTGGGCCTTCCTGGACCCTCAGGCCAGCCCCAGGACCCATGCCCAACCACCTGCTGCTCTTCCTGCCCTGGACACAGCCTCACAGCAGGCTCCAGGCCTGAAAGGGGAGAGTGGGGCCAGGGGTAATATTCTGTGAGGAGCTCAGTTTGGAGTTTCTGGGCTCCAGGCCCTCAAGAACCAGCCAGGAGATGAAAGGTGGGGAGGGGGCTTTGTTGCCTCCTGGGAGCCTGGAAGCTGCAACAACCCTTCATGGCCTGGCCAGGGCTGAGGGCCATGGAGCTGCCACAGAGAGGGCCCTCCACTCTGAGCTGGTGCCTGCTTCCCTGGCCTGCTTTCTTTTGTAAAGGACAAATTATGGTACCAGAATCTGCCAAAGATCCCCACTTCCTCAGCTCCCTGTGCAGGGGTCTTGGGAGCTGACAGAGCCACATCCAGAGTGGGGTAACAGCTCAGGTGGCATAGTTCTCAACCCCACTCCACCCCATCATTCTCCCACTTTCTTTTTTTTTTTTTTGCTCAAGGGCCAGAGAAAGCAGTGAGTCACTCTTGAGGTCCCAGCCCCATCCCCTGTTGCAGACCTGTCCCCATGGTCCCCATAGTGACTGCTTCATCGCCATGGTGACACTCGTTGCTGTGGCGCCGTTGCTCAGCGCCCACTTCAGCCTGTGGGCCCCATCCTAGGGTACGTGCCACCATCTCTCCAGCCCAGGCCCCTGGGCACCTTCTGCCTGCCCCTGCCTGTGTCTCCAGGCCCTGACATACGGCCCACCGGCACCAGGCAGCCCTCTCCCTGCCACTCGTGCCTTGCTTTGAGCCAGAAGGTATGAAGCTGGGAGAGTGAGCGCCCAGAGGAGGGGCGAGGAAGCTGGAAGCCCTCCTTGGTTCTGCACGGGCTTGAGTTTCTGACAGGGAAAGAGGGCTGCTCAGCGGCTCCCTGAGGGGAAGGCTGAGCAGGAAGGGAAGCAAAGATGAAGGGCCTGATCTCTGGCCTGCTCTCCCCTCAGCCTGGGAAGGGTGATGGAAAGGGAGAGCTAGCAAGCAAGCAGCCCTTTGCGCCTTAACACTAATCCCACCTCCCCTACCCCATTCCCAGCACCGGGGCCTATGGTTGCCTGGGCTCGGGCTGTGTGTTTTTCAATATTTGTAAGCATTTCAGCAGAACAATAAAGCATTTGGAGTATGTAAGTGTTTTGGGGGCCCAGGTTGTGTAGGGTATGAGGCTGGGATCTTTGTGATAGGCGGGCTATGTGTTTCCCCCAAAGCAATAGTTCTACCCTATGAGCTATGTTGGCAGTTCGAATCCACCAGCTATTCCTTGGAAACTCTATGGGGCAGTTCTACTCTGTCCTATAGGGTGGATATGAGTCGGAATCAACTCGATGGCAACGGGTTTGGTTTTTTTTTTGAAAGTTCCTGGAGGGACCCAGACCCCAACCCATGACTTCAAGTCACTACCCTGCCCACCCTCCATTGTGAACAGAGGGCTGGCTAGGGAGGGGGAAGGACACAGGGTCTCCAAGGATGGAGGAGGGAGGATGAAGAGGCAGGAAAGGGTAGAGGCTTATGTAGAGGTTTAATGAGGCAGGAGCTGGAGCAAGATGAGTGAAGGCAGATGGGGCAGTGCCATCACTGGGGCAGGAAGCTGGGCAGAAGGCTGAGCAGGAGGGCAACCACCAGGCAGTGGGGTTCCCAGAGAGCTGGCCAGGCACCCGAGGTCAGCCGGTCGCCATAGCGGTCCAGGAGCATCAGAGCCACTCCGTTGGTCCAGCCAAACCCCTCCTGGAGAGAGCCATGTCCAGTGGGCCCAGATCTCTGGGAAAGGCTTCTGAGTCCTATGGGGGTGTGGGATCTACCCAGGGGTCCTGGCCTGCCTAGCCCCAGGGGTGCAGTCAGATCAGGCTCCCCCCCATGGACCTACCTACAGGTTAGGAAACAGGCCTAGGGAGGGGATGTCATGATCCATTGGGAATAGCCCTGGAGTTCCCTGTGAGAAGTTCACCCCTGGCCCACTCACCTGAACTTCATACTCCCCTCCTCCTCCTGGTTGTCCCCCATTGGTAATGTCATACTGGGGACAAGAGGACAGGCTGCAGGTCAGGCAGTATGCCCCCACCATCACCCCAGGCCAGCAGTGAAAGCAAGGAATGGGACCTCCCTGGGCAGAAGCCCTCTGGCCTGCAGCTCTGGCCCCTGCAGTGCCCCAGAATGGCCACTGGGTGCCCCCACTGGCCCTGGGCTTTCCAAAGCCTGACGCTTCCCCACCTCACCTCCTAAGAGGAACCCCAGTGTTACTGGGTACAGGGCAGCTTACCTTCTCATACATGGCTGACTTTTTGGAGTAGACATCAAAATTGGTTCGGATCCAATTCTGGGCCAGCTGGAAAGCTACTTCCTGGGCCCGGGGTGAAGGCAACTTGGCCAGACCTAGACCCACCCCAGGTGAGACCCTGAATCTCCAAAGCCCTCACCCCAGGGGGAGCAGAGGAGGGAAGGAGGCCCTGGGCCCTAAGACCTCCTTCCTGGAACCATGGGCCAAACCTGCTCTTAATCCAGAGCTGATTTCACTGGACAGGTGGGGGTGGACATAAATGCTTGGTGAGTGGGAGGCCAAGGGCTCAGAGGAGCGAGAGAAGTAGAGTAAGTGGACCCCAAATCTTTGTTCACACCTCCCCAGTACCAGGGAGGAGACAGACCCTCTACACCCAGTGGGGGGACAAGGCCCTGGGATGTATCCCTCATCCCTGCCTCCCTACCTCTAATGACCAGGTCCTGTAGCGGGGCCCAGGCATTGGGGAAGTCCCACTGTTGACCTGACTCCTGGAGAGAGGTTGGGATCCCGTACTTGTAGGTCAGGATCTGGCTGTCCTAGAAGGTTCCAGACATTACCATATCTGTGGGTGGGGCTGGACAGGCAGCCAGGATGCTGGGCCATCCGGGAAGCCAGATGTCTCCTTCCTGGCCCTTCGCTTCTTGGCTCACAACTGCCCCTTGGTGGCACTAGTGGGACCTGCAGGCTAGGAAACGGCACAGAGCAGAAAGGCGTGGCTGTCCCCCTTACCTCCAGGTATTTCAGAGCCTTGTCCGCAATAGCAGGGTCAGAGAAGCAGCCGGCCCAGAGAGGAGAGAGGTTGGTTGGGTAAAACTCTGGGTTCTTCCCATTCTCAAGGTCATAGTCGAACCAGGCACCTTTCTCCTCATCCCACAGGACGGCCGTCAGGGCGGTCAAGCGCTGTGCCCGCAAATTTCTGTACTCTGCGGCTTCAGAGTCATTCCCTGGGGCAGTACTGCCTTCAGACGTGAGCAACCAGGGCCCCTGCCCTTGGGCCCTATGCCTTAGAGGGCTGTATTCTGGCCTCCTCCAGTTGTGTTCCTCCCCAAGGGGTGAGAAGTCATGAGGACCAGGGGACATGCCTACCTGGAGCCACCACATTCCAGGTATCATCACTGCCATAGAGCCGATTCCAACTCATAGCAACCCTGTAGGACAGAGTAGAACTGCCCCATAGGGTTTCCAAGGCTGTAATCTTTACAGAAGCAGACTGCCACATCTTTCTCCTTCAGAGAGGATGGTGGGTTTGAACCGCCGACCTTCCGGTTAGCAGGCGAGCCCTTAGCTACTGCGCCACCAGGGCTCCTGCCCAGGCATCAGAGACCTTGGAATTCCCTGAGCAAATGGCCCTGCACTGCTCCCAGGGCCTGCACTGGCCTGTGCCTGGGCTGAGCCTCCCAAGGGCACTGGCTGTGTGGATACCCCTAGCCCTGAGGGGGTCGAGAGCAGCTACTTGGGGAGAAGGAGTGGAGGGAGCTTGGATGTGTGGCTAGGGTGTCCACTCACATGCCCTAGAGGCCCTCAGTAAGGAAAGGAGGGGAGTGAGAAGACAAGTGTGGGCTCTGTCTGTGCCCTTGCCTGGTACACAAATGCTAGTGCTGGGTGACACTAGGGGGAGGGCTTGAGCAGGCAGAGAAGCTGGAAGGCCTTCACCCCGGGGTCCTACTTCTAGTTCGACTGCCAAGGCTGAGGCAGGAGCCCAAGCTCCACCAGCACCCTCCACCTCCTCCCCAGGTGCCCACCTAGTCTAGAGTAGAAGTTGCTCATCAGCTCCTCTGCTTGGCACAGGAAGGCATTGAGGTCAACAGGCACCACTTTGCTGGTTCGGGTGCTGCTGAGCGAGTTGGTGTTTGGGCTTCCGGAGAACCAGCGGGAAGAAAAGTCCCAGCCAGACTCGGCCCCAGCCTTCAGCTCGGCCCACAGAGCGTCCCGGTCACCTGTGAGCACAGAGCAGGTGCCCAGCCAGTCCTGGCAGCATAGCCAGGCCTACCATACCCTGCAGACACCCAGCCTCTGCCCAGAGACCGCCTGCACCCTGTTGCTGCTCACCTTCCGGCAAGGTGTCCGCCAACTCTGCGTCTTTGCTGTAGGATTCTGGCCTGGCAAGGAGGGGAGGTGAGCAGCCTGGTGCAAGTAGGAGAGCAGCCCCTCTGGGCTCAAGCCCAGAGCCACCCTGACCCAGCTGCTGAGAGCTGGGTGCTGCCCCCAGACCTCACAGCCCTGGGTTGTTCTGGGCTCTCTGTATCACCAGAGGTAGGGCTAAACTGCTTGCCCTCCTTCCCAGGAGTGTTGTGATGCTCAAACCAGAGTGAACAGACACGGGATTGAGGGCGGGCCCTGCAGTCCTCACCTGGGTCCCCCATAAGGAACATAATAGCGATTTAGGATGTAGCTCTTTCCCCCAGAGCTCACGTTGACACTTCTCTTCTCAGTCCAAAAGTTCAGTTCCAAGGCCAGTGTCCCAATGTTCTCCCTGGGGTGGAGCCAGGCACCACCTCAGCCCAGACCCCAGCCCCACCCCCAGCCCTGGATAAGCTCAGGAAACCCCCTTGCGTGCCCCACAACCCTGGGTGGTGGGGCTGGTGGGGTGGGCTGGGACCCACCGTAGGAAGGCGATGTCATTGGTGTGTGTCACATAGCGGTCCATCATGAGGGTCAGGAGTGGGGGCTGGCTCCGCTGCAGGTAGTACACACGCCCGCCATTGGGGATATGGCCGTAGCTGCCAAGAAGGAGGGCTACTGAGATGCCCTCTGCCCAGGTGCCAGAGCCAAGGCCAGCCCCAGGCCTGGCACATGTGCTTTTCTTCCCTGCCCGACCCTCTCTTACGATTGCACCAAGTCCAGGAAGTTCTGCAGCATGCCCTTCACTGTCTCGGGCATCTCCGAGAGGAGTAGGCCCTCCATCACCCAGTAGGAGTCCCTGGGGGAAGGACAGCTTAGGCCTCACCAGACACCACCCTGCTCAGGACACCCACCTGGGTCCTTGGTTCCCTGCCTCGCCTGGCCCCCAGGCCCCCAGGCCCCTGGCCCCTACACTCACCAGTAGTAGAACTCAGCAAAGCGCCCCCCAGGCACGATGAAGGGGTGTTGAGAGTAGATCAGAGAGAACAACTCAGGGTGGCTGAGAACCTCTGGCTTCATCTGGAGTTGAGGAGAAAGAGCATGAGGGAGCCTGGAGGCCCCAGAGAGTAGACTGAGGAGAAGGCCTGGGCTTGGCAGTGGAGCCAGAGGGCCTGGGCTGGTGTTCTGGCAGTGCTGCTGACCAGCCAGTGGCTTTGGTCAAGGCCTGGGGCTGCTGGGAGCCCTGACCTCCTCACTTCCCACCTGCCCTCCTCACTTCCCACCTGCCCTCCTCACCTCCCACCTGCTGGCCTCTGGAGTGACAGCTAAATGAGGGGTGTGTATACTCTCCCGGCCAGTCACCTGGGCAGGTATTCAATAAGCAGCAGCCATTACTATGATCCAGGTAAGCTGACGAGGATGGAGCATTCCCTCCTGGCTCCCTCGGCTCCCCACTTCTCTGTCACCACCAGCCAGGCCCAGGGGATCAGCCCCCACCCCCATGCTCTAGTCCAGGTGTGGACAAAACCCCAACACTTTGCCCAGCTGTGAAGGGTTAGCGATGGGACCAGAGACCCTGCCGGGGCGGGGGGGGGCTTCCGTGTATCCCCATCAACTATGTTCTTTGCTCATTCCCTGCTCATTTCTGTGTGTGGGGAGGGAGGGGGTTGCTAGTGGGGGAAAGGTCAGCTGGTCTCAGTTATTTTGAGGGGAACAGGGGACTGGGACCCCTAGGCTGTTCCTAAGGGCTGGGTGAGATAGGCATCCTCAGCAAACGAAGGAATACTGAGTACCACCCTGCCAGCCCTCACCAGGGCACTGGGGCCAAGTGGGAGGCCCTGGCACCCGCTCAGTATGCAGACTTGGGCAAAGCGCTACTCTCTCTTGAGCTTCTGAGCAAAGAGATTAAGTACATAACAGGTTGTGCTGAGCACAGACGTCAGCCACAATCATAGCAATTATTATTTATAAGACAGAGTCCTCCCCTGCCCTGAGGAGCTCAGGGAAGACGGAGCCCAGCAGTAGACCGAACAGTTAACAGGTGGTATAAGAGGCAGCAAGGGGCAGCCTGGAAGTAGGGGCAGGTTGGGTTTGCCTGCAGTGGGCTGGGGAAGGCTTCCAGGCAGTTAGGTGAGCACCTTCCCTCGGAAATTCTGGAGAGACTTTGTGCAGGGACCTGGTGGAGGGGCGTGGGTTGTATCCTTAGGGAAGGAGGTCCATCTGTGCTCCGGGGTCAGCCCTGGAGCACTACAGGCCCTTGTTGGCACACCCCTTTCCTGGCCCCTCCTCCTTGGCCAGGCCTAGGGGCAGGCCTAGGACCCAAGTACCTTCTTTCCTAGCTCCTTCCAGAGCTGGTGCAGCTGCTCTGCCCAGGCCCGAAGCTTGGTGTCCGAGATCTTCTGCAGGAACTGGGGGCTGAAAGAGGGCCGGCCCCACAGGGTTCAGGGAGAGGAGGCAGCCCTGGCCCAGGTGCCCCTCATCTGCTCCCTGTCCAGGGCCTTACCTGTCTTTCCAGTCTCCGGGGGTCCAGGGCTCCAGCTCCTGCCTCGCTGCCTGGAAGTGCTTTGCGAGGAAATTCTGCAGCTGCTGCCGGGGGATGCTGTAGTTGTGTGCCTTGGACAGTTCCTCGAAGCTGAGCAGGACTTGGTCTGGGGAGCAGTGGTGTGGAGATCAGGGGGGCCCTGTGAGCCCCTCCCTGAGTCAGATGAGCCTCTCTGCCTGGCCTTGCCCCCTGCCACCTTTGGGTGGAAGGTTCAGAGAAGGTGGGCCCCACTCCCTCACCTGGTGCCATGGACAGTGGCATGTCCACAAACTCCTTGTCATCCAAGAAGAGCTTGGCCATCTGAACTTGGTGCAGGAGGTCCCCGTAGCAGTAAATCTGGCTGCAGGGACAGTCAGGGAGGGGGATCGTCAGCCCACCACCAACCAGTTAGGGAAGAAGAGAGGGCTAGAATCTGTACTGACTGGTCAGGGTGTGTTCCCTGGGGACTGGACAAGGATGTGTGTGTGTGTTTGGTGGGGCTGGGGGCGTAGTGATGAACAGGGCTGAGAGAACTAGGAGGGTCTTCTTTCCATACCTTTAGCAATAAGCCTAAGGCTTAACAAGACACTAGATGACACAGCCTCTCTTGAACAGGATGTCAAGATAATTGCTCAGGACGAAACCTATTTATTAGCCCTGGTACATACTTTTCCTTCACAGTCCATGACTGACCCTCAGCAAGTCCTATTAGGGCAACCTTCAAAATACATCCTATTGAACCACTTCTTACCACCCCAGTGCTACCTCTGGAGCCCACCCCTGGCCCCCTCTTCCTGACCTCCCACCTGCCCCCAACTCTTGTCCCAGCCACACTGGCCTTCTTCCTGGTCCTCCAATAGTGGCATCAGGGCCTTTGCATTGCAGTTTCCCTGTCTGGACTGCCTTCCCCCAGATTTGCACAGGGACGGTTCTTCCTACAACTCTACCCAAACATCACCTCCTTAAATACACCTTCCCTCCTCATCCTAAAACACCCTCTGCTCACCCCCACGAACTGTTCCCTAGTCTTAATAGTGCTCATATCACCATTTATCTTCTATTATTAATTTTCTTGCTTATTATGTAGGGTCTGTGAAGGCAGGAACCTTGTTTTTTGTGATCACGGCTGTACCCCAAGAAGCTAGTGGAGTGGTGGTAGAATGGAGAGTGGATGCTGTCCTGTGAGTCCAGCAGCCAGGACAGGGCCCAGTCCTTCTACTATTTGGAGGTGGAAACTGAGGCTCAGGAAGGTCTGACTTGCCTTGGTCACAGAGTATCAGGGTTAGGGCTGAAACCTCGCTGCTCTTGGCAGGGCTTTAGCCCCTTCTCACACCCAGGCTAGGGAAATTGGGCAGAAAGTTTGTTAGAACAATCCTGAGAATAGCCCTGCACAGTTCAAGGAGCAGCTTAGAAGGAGAGCGGGAAGGGCTCTGGCCTGCAGCCTCCTGGGCATCATATGCAGCTGCATCTTTTCCCAGCGCCGGGCTGACAGTGTCCAGCACAGGGCCTGCTGCACAAGAAACCTTCATCTCTTTCCCTTCCCTTCCCTCTGAAGGGCTGACCCCCAGAGCTTGAGATTTTATCCCAGCCTTCTGGACCCAGCCCTCCACCCCCAAGCTCCCTTACCTCCTACCTGTCACAGGGTGGGGGCAGGGCCTCCTGGGATCCTAGCCCCATGGCCAGCAGGAGCAGCAGGCACAGCACCCAGGTCTTCCCATGCATGGTGGCTGTGACTGTTACGAAACAAGCAAGCCCAAACCCTCAGGCAGCTGGGGCACAGCCTAGCCTGCCTGCCAACCCAGGGAAGCCAAAGTCCAGGCTTTGAGGTGTGGCCACCTGAGTTCTGTGCCTGGTCTGTGCGTGGCCTGCTGGCCCCTCTTGCTCTCATGGGCAAGAGGAAATCTCTCCCAAGGCTGGACATCTCTCTTCTGTGCAGCTGGAAGCACTGGTCAGCCCTGCGTGGCCCTGCTACAGTTCTTCCCCTTCTGATTCTCTGTCTCAGCTGGCACCACGTGCTTAGACACTTCTGTACCAAGATGCGGGGCGGGGGAGGCGTGGGGCTGGGGCTGGGGCACCTGAGGGCCAGTGTGATAATCAGGCCACACATCTGTGACCCAGATGCCGGTTGCTTGGGTGACCCCAAGACCGCTAGCTCAGGGGGTCACCCTTTTCCTTAACATTTCCATCAGAATGGCTTGAGTTTCTGCCTTGCTTGTGGTGTGAACCCCAGAACCCTCCTCTATAAGGAAATGGAGGGAGGACTTAACATTTCTTTTCACCACCTCATGTCTTCCCGTCCTGAGTCAGCTGAATCTCGGTGAACTTTCCTGTCTGGCTTCCTGGGACTGTGGCCATTTGTCCTTGCTCCCCTCCATGCTGGTCACAGCCCAGACCCATTCACATCCAACTGGAGGCTGCTGTGTGCACATCACTTTTACTGCAGATTTGAGGCCACAGAAGGGGATTACCCCATAGTACAGAGCAAAGAAGAACCTAAAATGGAACGCTGGTCTTTACTTCCTAAAAAATCCTCCCGGCTGTTCTCCAGCGTGAGGAATTCCTTACCGGTCACATATCCCTCAGGTCCAGTTTTATCTCCATATCCTCTGCCATTTCTCTCCCCCAACTCCAGCTCCCAGCTAACAACACTTAAATTCCTGTTAAATACTTCCAGAATAGTTTACCTCTGGACTCTTTCCCACCTGAGCTTGGTCTCCTTTTGCCATCCAAAATCCCTTTGAGGACCTGGGTCAAAGAAAGGTCACAACTCAGCAAAGTCCTAGCAGAATGTTGATGATGGCCAGGCTCCACAGGGCAATGCCATGCCCAGGCAAGCTTCTCCCCACTCCATCTCATAGTCACTATGGATTAAGTGCTTATTATGGGCCAGGCCCTTTCCATACTTGCTCTGGAATCCTCTCAACCACTGACAGGGTAGATAATGACCCTTCTTTTGCAGATAAGGAAACTGAGGTGGTTGTTAAATGACTGGCTGTGGTGAGAGCTGAGGAAGGGACAGAGGTCGAGCTCAGGAGGAGAGCAGTTTCTCATTGACCCAGTCAGTTCTCATGACAGTTCTGTGGGGGCAGGCATGCAGGACATTGTCCCCATTTTATAGATGAGGAAGCTGCGTTCAAAGAGGCTTATGTTCTTAGATTTGGAGAAAGAGAAATCTGCAAGGGGCCGCCTCAGGTTCACTCAGCCAAGTCCCTCAATTTACAGAGAACTGTAAGGCTACAGAGGAGGGACCCAGCAGAGGAGATGTGGAAGAGCTCTGGTCTGGGCTAGAGGAAAGGAGGAGTCGGCAGGGGGAGCTGTGCCGGGCAGACCAACATGGGGCTTACTCCATTGCAGATGGGCCACCAGCTCACTCACCTCAGTTCTGACCCTCCTCCCAGCACAGGCTTACCCCTTGGCCAGGGCCTGGAGCAAGACTAGAAAGCCTCAACTTCCCTTCCCCCACTCTTTTGCCCAAACCACTGCCACCTGTGGATCAAAACACTTTTTTTAAAATGCCCAGTTGCCTGAAAGACGGGCGAGTGAGAGCAGTGCACACACTCCCGCGCGCTCTCAGATGTTGCACGTTTCTGCATTTCTGCAGATGGCAGCAATTTTTGCAGAAAGGGCGTGGAGAGTGCAGCTGGGCTGGGCAAAGCCTGCTGCACTTACCTGTGGTGGCCTCTGCCCACCCAGACTGCCCAGCCTCTTGTTCTCACCTCAACCACTGTTACTTCCACTGTACCCCTGGGATTAGGGTGTGGGGACAGGGGCTCCGGCCACGCCCAGACTGCTGGGTGTCTCCCTGCCTCTCCCGGGGCTCCTCTGCCACAGCCGAACAGGCTTGCCTGATTATCAGCAACATGCAGATGCAACCAGGTGACCCCCAACTCAAGTCACACACCCTTCCTCCCATACAGTCCCTGTGATCAATGGGATTAGCCATGTTTGTACATTTCTATGAGAACCAAAAAAGCAAACAAACCCGTTGCTGTCAAGTCGATTCTGACTCATGGCGACACTATAGGACAGAGTAGAACTGCCCCATAGGGTTTCCAAGGAGCGGCTGATGGATTTGAACTGCCACCCTTTTGGTTAGCAGCTGGGCTCTTAACCACTGCGCCACTAAAAGTGGGACCCAGGAGACCTGAAGACTTGACTAAACCACTGACAAGCTGTGTGACCGTGGGCAAGTTATCAAACCATTGTGGCCTTTTGTGTATAAATTGAGGACTTTGCTCCAGGTCAGGGGTGGCAAACTTATATTCTGTAACACAAATGAACAAAACATGTGTGCAAGGGAAACCACAGTGCAAGGGGGATGATGAGTGGTGGGACCCCAGCCTTGGGGAGTGGTGAGGACTGGGATGACCTTAAAGTATATTTACTGCCTAAAAATAGGAAAGCAGTGTCTCTGATTGTTGCCATAAGGGAATATGAGCTCTTTATTTGCTAGATCTCCCGATTTTTCAAAGGAAGGTGGAAATCCACGCTTCTATGTGAAATCTTCCAATTTTTAAATTTTGTCTCATACTCTGACAGTCTGCAAATCTAAGAGTGACTCTGTGTGCATTGGAGGAGTGGTTGGGAGGAGACCTGTTTCTCCACTAGTGGGCTTTGTGGTCATGTTGCTGGGTGGAAACCTCAGGTTCTGCTTGGCCTGACTCATATTGGCCATTAAACGAGAGACAGAGATGGGAGAGCAGAAAGGTGCATTTATTTTGTTGCGCAAGGAAAGGAGTCAGTTGGAGCTGCTGCCACCAAGACTGCTTCCCGAGGGTGAGGGGAAAGGTTATTTTTAAGGGGTTTACAAGTAGGGAGTTCACTCAAGTTACATCAGCAACATTCTTAATCATACTGTGCAGGTGCAATGGGGTTTACATTGATTTAGGAGATAGTATTGTAGCCATTATTCCCTGTCCTTGAGCACAGAGAATGTGACCCAGCTGGAGCTGGACTCCCAAGGACTACAAGGACACATCAACTGGGGTCTGAGGTATAAAGACAATAGCTAGGACAATCTTGGAAAACATCTTTTAGGGAAACTTTCACATAAACCAATCATAAACAGAGCATAAAAACCCACATACTTTCCACTTGTATCTTTTTCTGTTAGCATTTAGTGAATAGTAAGATTTGTTGGACCAATGAAGACCCTACTGACTGAAACCTGTACCAGTGATTGTTAAGAAAGACAATTCAAAATGTAGGATCACAGTTTCTAGCCAGTCTGTGAAAAGGTGACGCTTTCAATGGTTTTGCCCATTTGTAATGTTAACATAGACTGATGACTCTGTAATGTTCCTCAGACTCGGGCAGACACGGCTGTGGCAGCATGCTTGTCCGTTTTCCCACTTCTGCTTATTCTGTAATATTGCTTGGACTTGGACAGACATGGCTCTAGCAGCATGCTTGTCCATTTTCCCACTTTTGCCTCTTTAAACATATGTCGAATAAAATCTTTCTTTTTGCTTTACTAAACTTCATGATGTTTTTACCCTAGAACAACATATAACTTCATGCACTGCCAGTTTTACGGGCCGGGCCAAGCAAAGGAACTAGGATTTTAATACAAAGTTACCAGGCAGGCCAAGCAAGCTGCTTGAGGCAGTGGAATTTTCCACAGCCTGGGGACCTCTGCCTTAGGCAGAGAGTCTCCCCTTCTCCCTGAAGGTTCAGGGTCCTCTCCTTGAATGAGATCTTAGCCTGAACGTTGACGCTCAGTAATTTGGTGACCCTTCAAAGTGATATGGAGTCCCTAGGTGGTACAAACGATCAACAAGCACAACTGCTAATTGAAAGATTGGTGGTTCGTATCCACCTAGAGATGCCTTGGAAGAAAGGCTTGGTGAGCTACTTCTAGAAAAATCAGCCATTGAAAATTTTATGCAGTACCGTTCAAATCTAGTGTCATGGTCCCTGAGTCAGAGAAGACTTGACAGCAACGGTTTTTTTGGTTAAACTGATATACTATGTATATTTGATATTCTTAATACGTAGAGATCTCTTACAAATCAAAAACAATACTTTCACACTTTGACAAAAAAAATCCACAGAATAAATGTCAATAGTCAATTAGCATAATATCCTGTTTGTTTTTCTCTGGAACTGATCACTGCCTCAGCCCAAAAGAATATAGTTCTTGACTTGGGATTGGTCCATGAGTCTGTGCCCTGACTTTTCTTGGATGTCCTTACTCAAGTCTCACTACTTAGTGGTCTGCACAGTCTTTCTGAATACATTTACGAGCAGGTACATCATCAGTGGGAAACACTAAACACATGAAAATATTTATTTGTCTTTGATTTTGAGGTGAAGCTGCAGGCTGTGGGAGGGAGGAGGGCTGAGAGGGGGCACAGGAGACACAGCTCAGCTTTTTCTTAAAAAAAAACAACAAACAAATGTTGCCATCAAGTCGATTCCTACTCATAATGACCCTACAGGACAGAGTAGAATGGCCCCATAGAGTTTCCAAGGAGTGGTTGGTGGATTTGAACTGAAGACCTTTTGGTTAGCAGCTGAACTCTTAACCACTGCACCACCAGTGAGTTTCCCAGGCTCCCTTGCAGCGAGGACTGACCAGGGCCCCAGTTCTGGCAAATGAGATATACGGGAAGTCACTGGAAGAGGCTTCTGGGAAAGTTCTTTAAAAGGGGAAAGACTCAGATGGCTTTACTTTTTGCCCTTTGCCCTTCCCCCTTCTTCCTGTCTTGGACACAGACAAG